CAGAAGTGTAATCCAAGTGATGGGACTGAAGTGCTTCACGAATCAGAATTTCCAATCTGCTCAGAATTGTGCAGTCCCATATTTTTCCTTTTAAAAGCACAGGGATCTGCCAGAATTATGGCTACGGGGTAGATATGCCTCTCGCAGTGCAAACTTGGGTGTACTGTGGGAACGTGTACGGCATTCATACTGCTTAGAAGGCTTGAGTAAGGAGGTATGTGCATTTAGATCGCTCGCTGAAATATCTTCGGAAAATATAACCCTGAAGGTCTGTGCAGTTGCACAGTCTTATCTAACCCAACATATCCACGCCTTATGGAATTGCCCTGGATTGGATTATGACAACTGTATCTTGCACCTACGCTCAGCTCGAGTCTCTTCCTGCATGAGCTTGTCTGCGCATTTTGAGCCGTACAGCAAGATCAGCTGAATTCTTTTTTCCCCCCAGGTCCATTCGCTCAGACAATGTGCTAATTAGGTCACGGAGGAAATCAAAGATGTAGAAAGGGGATTGAGCTCACCAACTGGCTCCTATATGTAATTGCTGTATTTTAGTTTAATTTGTCTTAAGATGTTTTCTGATGTCTCTGAGAATCACGTTACCCATGAAAAGGCAGACTGCACATCAAGAAAGCGAATCAGTGAACACAGGAGTATTTTGAGCCGCGGAGTGTAGCATTCAGTATTTATCACTACAGGAGAGGGGCATGTGACTTCTCTCTCACATGGCAGCTCCTTGGTTTATGACTTGCTGATTGGAAAAGAGCAAAAGTGTCCTGCAGGATTCTTTTTGAAGAAAGGGCAAGGCACTGGAAGGATCCACAGCGCTAACATCCAGCTGCAGAGTGACCCCTGCTCTTACCCCAGAAGGAAGCCCTGTGTGTTGGAAGGGAACGGACTTGCTGAAGGCAGAGACGAGTTACTGCAGGATCCCTCAGTCTGTTTTCTGGTTAAATAAAAGTGTTCTGTCGGAAGCGTGACCTCAGACGTAGCAGTGTGACCTGACAAGCAAGCATATTTAATCTGCTCCTTGGCGGAGCTGAATGGGTTTTATCCGTGAAAACATATGCCGTGTACTCATACAGGTAGGAGTGAGTGTGTCTCCTTGTTGGTGCGATCTGAGAGGGAGAGGAAGGACTGTTGGAGCACTTCAGGGTATTGCTACTTGGCAGGAACACACGTACTCCAAGGCAAACAAATCTGCTTGATATTTTATGAGTCTCTGAACTCAGCTGGTTCTGGCAGGGATGACTTGACTTCATCCAGAGAGGCCGTAGGGGGGAGATCATTCCAACTTTCCCTTTATTTGGGTAGTGGAACATGAGTAACTTGTTTCCAGAAGTGGAGGGAAGTCGCCTGGGGCTCCTCCTCGCGCACAGTGTGTGTCAGGCCGTGTCCCTCTCGTCCCTCCACGGTGCCTAGTGCAGGTCCCTTTTATGGCCGAACCATAGTGCAAAATGATGCAGCAACTGCAGCACAAGCACTTTGGACTCTGTGGAATAACAAATAATAATGAAGAAAACAGTCTTCCAATAAATGCTAATCACACCCTATAGGTTTGCACCGAATTTGTCATTAAACAGTAGATATTAAATGCAGAAATGCTAACTTTCCCAGAACCTCAGAGAGTTTAGAGTTCTTTGTAAATATGTAATTCTCCCTCTCAACATGCAGTTTATTTCCCAATACAAATTCTTCATTATTCTGTAATTAAGACTAAAAGGCCTCATCACCTACCTGAGTCAGAAATGCCCTTAAGAGAACACAGCCGTTTACTGAGATGAGCAAATTCTCGCAACTGAGGCAAAGGTTCTCTTCTGCCACAAAGTCTGCAGGCCTGTGTGTGTGTTTGTGAACATTTAGACAACTGCAGCTTGACAAGCTTCATTATTCCTATTTTTTTTTTTTTCCTGGCCTTTTTATCTATAATGATTGCTGCATTCTCTCCCCTCTCCTCTCCCCCCTCTCTCCTCTCCCTGAGCTGGAGCCTAAGTGATTCGTTTCAATCTTCCTCCTGACCTTGCAGTAATTCTCTTGACGATACAAACCAAATAAAGAATGGAATTTCTGTGCCAGTCTGTTTGTCAGCCATAAATAGGCAATATATTAGTCAAATTTTCAAAAGTGAACAGCAACAGAGTTCTGAATCCTGGTATCTCCATAATATATGTAGATGTTTGCTTTGGAGTTCAACATTTTTGTTGTCAGCTGAGAGCAGGCATGTGATATTTATGTTGGCTTGATCAACATTTGGCAAAAGAGGGTAAGAACAAAACAGGCTAGAGAATGGGAAGCTTTTTAACAGGGAAAGTATCTTTCCATATGTATGGTATTGCAAAAATATGAATCACTTAAATTGTTCAGCATAGGAAAGAAAACAGATTTAAAAGCCTTTATTTTCAGAATTTCAGAAAGATGTATTTTAACGACTAAAGTCCTTAAAAGTATATTTGCTGCTGAGTGGTGAAATCCAGAGCTTGCCTCACACACAGGCATACCATTATTTTCACTGGGGCTTTAGGATGATGAACACCTGACACTTCCTCTGAATGTGGTGATGAAATAGATCTGGCGCTGAGAATTTCAGCATGTTGAAGGGTGATGTCTTACGGCGTTACAGACCTAATTGACTTTAATGTCAGTATTGAAAATAAGGAGGTAACAGCAGTATTACGCAGTATTAAGCCCCTGTGCTTGAGACTTAGAGGGAAACAGAGATGCAGGCTCAAGCATCTTTGGCTCTACCTTGCGAGGCGGGGTAAGGCCAGAGGCTCCTTGTCTGCTCCAGCCTCACCCAGAGCACGAGGATAGGAAGCAGATGGAGAGAAGTGGGGTCAGATGATAGGCCCAAACCAACGTTCTTGGTGAAATAAGCTTTTGTCCCTAAAGAGAAATTATTTCCTTCTGGGAGAAAAAAAGAGTAAAGTTATTGTGAGTCTACAGTAGGTCCCCTCCTGGGTCCTGCATCCCCAGGAGCAGGCTGGCTTCATCTGTCTGATTAGGAGATTAGCTCTGAAACAGGATCCTGGGTTTAGCTGGTCTTTGCTCCAATGCACTTATTAATACTATTCTCTTTCCCACTAAATCTGTTTTTTTGTTGATGATTTCCCAACCTTACAAGAAGAAGCTATCCAGTAACACTAGTTAAGCACCATCTTTAAACAAACGGAAGTTTGGGAGTGCCCTGAAATAAATGTACAGTGCTTGCCTAGAAGAGATTTAGCGACAGCCGCATAGCCCTGAAGTTCAGACAAACGATGGAAACGTGATGACTTTTAAAACCTGGTGCCGGTCCAAAGCATCTCTGTTTTACAGACTGATCTTCAACCATATTCAGTTACTGGTAATAGCGCCAAAGCCCTGCAGCGTGTTTACAGAGGGCATGAACCAGCGGAGAGCTTGACCTTAACTTTTGTGTGTAGAAATGGAAAAGTCACGTTTACAAGACCATTCTGTGTTCGCTCTCTTTCTTCTGTGGGTGTGCATAGGCAAGTGGGAATAAATAGCCAGTGTCTCTTTAGTCTCTACTTTAATCAAGCCGTGATACTTATCAATATGATTTTGTCATTAAAAGTTGTCATTCCTCCGTTACACACTTGAAACGCTGGCTGTAAACCTGGCCTAACCATTAAAAATTAAGAGCCCAGCACTTAAGCATTCTGGAAGATATTTATTAAAATTAACATCACATTTTTTAGTGGCCCCCCCCTCTACTCTTTGAACATGCAAATCGAGTTTTTGATTGCCACAACAGCTAGAAGCATCTCTTTTGTTCAGGTGCTCTCCTGCAAATAGAAAAACAACGAAGACATTTGGATTTGTATGGTCAGACCCAAGAAACTGGAAACAGGAGGAGAAAAAAAATTGAAATTTTAGGTCTAAGGCAAGACTTAAATGCTAACCATTAAATTTAGCTTTTCTGTTCACCCTTCTCTCAGAAAACCTGCTACTCTGTAGGGCAGAAGGCCCTATAGACGGGCTGGGATACTCTGGTCCCCAGGTATATAAATGGACACATATTTAGATACACACAAATATGGGAAAGAAAAGAGCAAAATAGTGCGTGTAAGCAGGCAGGACGGCTAGGGAGAGGGGAAGGTAAGGTACGCTGTTAGTGCTGTTGGTGGAAGAAGGGAAGTTGTCACGGCTGCGGCTGCTGCCTGGGAAATGTTGTGTCAACACCAGGCAGGGGCACAAGCTGCTGCAGGGAGGAGGATGCTGCACGTCTCTGCTTGGTGCTGTCACCTGCGAGGTGCCATTGTCACAAACAGGAGGGCTCATAAGATGCTGGTGTCTGCCCTGCCTTCTCCTCCCCCACTCCAACAGGAAAAAAAAGTGAGATTTTTTTTTTTTTTTTTCCCCCCTGCTGCTGTAAGATTTCAGGATGATCCAACAGTGTATTTATTAGGTTTGAGAGGTGTTGTTCGAGGGGGAATTCCACTGCTGCCTCAAACCCAGCAGTTTACAGTATCCTGAGTTGACCCTTACTGAATATATTACATCAGATCTGAAACATTTTGTTGCTGGAGCACAGCAGCCTATTCCTTTCCCAGGAACGGTTTCATCTATTGCTTGCTGTTGGCTTAATAACCTTTTGCTACTTGACCTGTCCTTTCTGCAACGTTATTTTTTGCATAGATTCCCCTGGAGTTTGGCCATGAGCTGAGTGTGTAAGAGACCGCTAAACAAGAAGGAAAATCTAGAGATCTTAGCTGAGCAACCCTATTTAAGTAATAAAAACAACCGTGTTTGAGGAGCCGGTTACGTAGAGCAAACTTTTAAAGGACAGAATGCCCAACGCTTGTTTGTAAACCCAAGGCTTTATTAGCAGCACTGTTAGAGTTATCAAAGAATGACGATCCCTTCCTGAGCCTCACAGGCTACCTGCGTCCCTGTATTAATTCAAAGCGCTGCTGTATGGGCTTTGTGTGTTGTAGCACTAATCCCTGCGGTTCCTCGATTATGAGCATGTGCAGAGCAGCCGAAGGTACGGTCGTGCGTGTGGAGCTGACACACAGAGACTTGCGTCGCAATGCCATGTTTGTGCATGTGTTCCTACGACCGAGAAGGATACAGGGAGCCTGCCTGCCTTGCTGTGACTTAGCTGATGTTTTCTTGTTTCTGTTTCAGCATTCAGGATAATCCCTTCGGCACGACAGCTTTAGCAGAGTAAGTGAACACTTTACAGATGTCCTTATTTTTTAAATAAGAACGATGAGTTCAGTTACCGTAGCAAATAACTGTAAATAGTATGTGTGCAGTCCCAAGCTCTCTGTCATATATTTTGATTCACTTTTCTGTAATCTATTACTGACTGTATGGGAAGGATTGCATGAAACAGCTGCCTTTACATGTTCTCTGACCATTTAGAATTTACCTTTCTCGAGAATATATGCTTGATGCACATCACACGTGTTTAAATACATGATTTTCAGTGTAGGATAAATCTCCTGGGAAAATATTGCTCATTTCGGGTACTGATGATCTTGACCAACAGGAGTACGTCTGTTTTCTAAGAACACATGGTCTGTACTTCCTGCAAGTATTATTAGGACAAAAAAAAAAAAAAAAAATTTGCAAATATTTTGGAAAAAATAACGATACATTATTTAGACAAGCCAAGTACCAAATACATCATTTCTTTGGAATCAATCCCATAAACTCATTAGAAGGCCTTTCATATATATCATGATCGTAAGGATATATATGTTGACTTTTGCTGTTGTTTCACAGAGACAGCAGAACAGCATCAGGGAGAACATCAGAAAGTTAGAAAGGCGAAGGCTGTAGGAACTCTTACAGTTGAAATGGTCTTTGCTTTATTTCAGTCTAAATCACTGAAATGTTGGTGCTCTCTATTATTTTGATTGTTTCAAAAGCTTCTAGGGAAGATTCTTCAGCAGTAACGTGCCAAGCAGCTTCTCAGGAAGGAAATTACTTATAGATTTGTTTGTGTGTTAGGTGAGTTTTACACTGCTAATATGCTCATAATTAAAAAAAAGCCCTAGCTGGACGGTGGGCTGTTTGCCCAAGGGTTGTGGGGACAGGCCAAGCTGCAGTTGTCTGAGCCATCCGTGAGTGTTGTCAGAGTCACTGCAGGAAAAGTAAGATTTCATGGGGATCCAAACAATTTCCCTCTCTTATATTGCTTTGTTTTATTTGCTTACATTGCCTCGCTTTATTTCATTTTTATTTAATATTTGATCTTAGTCATGCTTTTTGTGTGATTGTGGCAGATATGGCAAGATTTAATAGAAAGTAATAAGAATCATTAATTATTTTTTTTTTAATTGCTTTCCTGCGTCCCTATTAGTTGAGAAATTGCGGTCTGTAAGATTCTGGGATGCTCCCCCTTCACAGAAGAATAACCAGATGAGATAGTACATTTTTCATATTGTTTTCTCCTTCTCTTTTCTCTGTCCCCAAATACATCCATAGTTTCCAGTAGAGATTCCCCTGGAGCAGCCCCTGTGCCTGCCTTACCCTTAAGGTTTCTTGGGACCTGATTTTCTCTGTGGTGCTTCATGTGACCCGTAAGACAAAGGCCAGGATGGCACAAGGGTGCCGGCGTGGTGCCGGCGCTGCCCTGGGGATGGGGACAGGGGGGCAGGCGGGGCTGGGCTGTGCCCAGCTGAGGGGCAGCGGCTTGGCGGAGCTGGGGCATTGCCTGAAGGGTGAATCTCCCTCGTTTTACCTGTTCTGTTTCAGGGGCTTTAAGTTTTAACCTTACCTTTCCAAACATAGAAGTAGAAACATGCTTGGACAAAACAAAGCCAGCGAACAATGACATCTGAAAAGCATTGTCCAAATGAACAACCTTGGTTTCTGGAGCTGACTTCCCTAAATCCTGTTTGGAGCCTCTCCCCCCCCGCAAAGCCTTTTTTGAGAACTGCTGAGGATACACAATTCTTACTGATTTCAGCACTAGTAGTTTGTGCTGGCCATATCTGAAAATAGGTTACTTTTATTTAGCAGGATAAAGAGAGAGCTTGCCATGCAACTTTAGACGTCCTCATCTGACAATTTCTGTCTTTATTTGCGGCAAAGGCAAAACCAGGGTTTCCGGAATGATACAAAATCAGTGATACAATAATTTCAGGAAATTTCTCCAGACGAGGCAAGTGCCTGGGGCTGCTAAGCTTTCAGCAAGCCATGCGTGCAGCCTGGTTTAGAAGTTAGTCACGTGAACATCTTAAAGGTCAAGTCAGCAAAAAGGAGCAGTTTGCACGTTGTACTGAAATGGCTCCTCTGGAAAGGGGAAAATGGAAGAAAGTTTAAAAAGCTAATGCCATTAAACCAGAGATCCTTGGAAGAAAAATAAACGGGGCAGTACTCTGACCTGACTGTGGCCCATGCCGTAAGTTCAGTGAGGGCTGTACTTCCTTCCGAGAGACATATCCATCAGTCAGTAGTTAGATTGGGCACTGAAAGAAAAGGATTCACATCACTGGGTTTTGTCAAAAGACATTCTTTCTGCCCAATGTAAGCTTCAACCCATATTAACTTATGACTTGAAGCTGTTCTGGCCCATTCTCTGATGTTTTAGGAACAAGTGAGGTGCTGCTGCAGCTTTTGGGTTGGTGGGAACTCTACTGTGTGGCCACCAGCTATCACAAAACTTGCGGAACTCTTGGATATCCCTCTGTTACACGTAGCTAAAGTCGGACAACAAGATTTACAAGTTACTGGTGAGAGGAGAAGAGTGTGTGCGTTGACATGTGCAGACAGGTGGCACGAGCTGCATTTCTTAAAGAAGCCGAGGTAAAAACACTCTGTGCTTTAATGATGGATATTTGAATTATATCATGAATTGATCTTCTTAGAAGTCCTGCTATGGTCTTAGCCTCAAGCACCCTCTCGTGTGAGTGAGCTTTCTTCATTGATATTTGTTCTTACAAAGAGAAATGTTTCTATGAGAGTGTGTTGCTTCTGAACTTCATCACAACCTTTTTATTACATGATGGACATAGTCTTCTTTGATTCATTATTGCTTATCTTTCCTACCTACTGCGATCCCGCTATCCAAACTCATTTTGTCATGCTCACTTACGTTGTTTTTAAGTTCTGTCTGGTTTTGTGACTTTTATCAGTTGCTGGGTGCTAAGTTAGGATCTCTGCTGCTCAAGATGACCGTATTACAGCCAGCTCAGGCACAGCAGCTGCCGGGACACTTCCTCAACTTAAGGAGTATGCACACATAGACTTGGCTGATGGACCTGTGCTCAGTCATCCGCCATACCTCCAGAGTGCTCCCAGTTACCAAAATGGTCTTTCAGGACTGAAGGTTGCCAGGTGTGGCAACTGGGGAGAGGAAGGCCCGAGTGAAGCTGGTAGCAGAGCTGCTTCCTCCTCTCCCCTCTTCCTGTGGCACACGCAGGAGGGAGAATTTGTCCCTTCAGATGGTCCCTGGCCTTTGTTGACTGTGGCTTGACCCATGGTGCACAGCATGCCTGGTGGCATCTTACCCTGCTCTCGTGTCTGTGCTGGGAGCTCTGTCCATCCAGCTCTGACCTTGGCACAGCCTCCTCACAGTGTATTTCCTTGCTGTTTTTCCCCCCCTGAAATTTTCCTTCATGTTTTTCATCTACGTTCCAGGTTTCTTTTGTGCTGGGCTTCCTCCTTCACACCCCCAGCATGTCCCATCCTCACACCTTGCTGGTGTCAGACACCTTGGTGAGGTGATTAGTGACAGACCAGAGGGCAAGGTGTGACCGGCATCCAGAGGCAAGGGCAACTAGATTTGTGCAGTGAATTTATCCATTTTGTACATCAACCCCTGTCTTCTATCTGTGTGGGAAGAACTGCATCAGTGGCAGGAATGCTGTGCGACTAGGGGAGCCCTGCATCTGTAGTCATAGTTCCAGTTGCACGCAGCAAATGCTTTTATTCATATGCTGATGTATTCAGGAAGTGTAAACACTTGAGTGTCCCTTTAAATATTTTCTGCTGCAGTCTGGCTTTTGATAAAGATACTAGCAGGAGACTGGTGGGAAAGAGGGATGTATTACAAACCTTGCCATCCAAGTGCAGTGCGGAGCTATGAATTCATCACTTAGTGTGCTCTGTCCTAAGAGGGGCAATTCTTCTGAAAATTTAACAAGTCAGCAGAAGTACAGGCTGCTTCCCTCATAATGAAGAGATTCCTCTGCCGGCAAACTTCAGCTGATCCAGGCCTGCTCAGTGTCTGTGCCCTGTGAGTATGGACAGCGGGTGAGGAGAGGGCCCCGACTTTTCCCCAGGAATAATACCTAGACAGGATGTTTGCATATTTGTTAGGAGTGGATGCATATATCTGTATGTTTATTTGAAGAAAGACGGCTCATAGGCTTTGCAGTTATATCATTCCACAAAGTCCAGCCGTGCTGCATGATATAGTGTTCAACACTGGGGTGTTAGCATATTTATCCAGGCTTCTCTTTTGCTTAGGCAGCGTTATGACAATTCTGTGGTTTGTAACTTAAGGGGATGCGATTGGTTATGTTTTCTTTAGGCATCTTAAAAGATCCTGCTAGTTTACCTTTTAGGACTAATGATCACTTTAGAACTTATTTGGGGATTCTTTTTCCTGCTGTAGAAAGAACGACTGCTCTACTATAGTCAATATTTTTTGTGAGTCTAGGAGAAAAACACCCTTAGCTAATTGTTTCTAATTCTTGTTTAAAATGTGAAGTATACTATAAGCAATCAAAATACAGAATTTCTTGTAATTTTGCCTGTAATTTTTATTATAATATCGGAATTCTTTGTCATCATTATTTCCCTCCGACTGAAAATGATAGACCCAATCTCTGCACTTAACATCTCAAGTTCTTCTTCCTCTGAGATCTGGCCCACCATGGAGCAGCTGTGGCATTAAATGGCCCCAAGTGAGGTGCGAGAAGGAGAAATGTGTTTATACTTCGAGCTGCACTGTCGTATTACTAAAAGCTAAATTTCTGCAGCTGGCAGAAAAATCAGCAATTTTTCTGTATCCGTTTTCAAGGTGTGAAGGGGATTCAGACTCTGTGCATGAAGATCAAGCAGACAGTTCCAGCCCCAGGTATTCCGCTGCAAATTTTGTCTGAAATGCATTGGCAACAAATAAAGCTGTCAGAGTGCTTCTGTGAAACCCTTAGAAAGAAGCCTTTATTCTCAAGGGAATGCAGAATTTCTGGGGTATTACATGCTAAGGATATTCGTATTTATAGGAAATACATGTTTGTCTTGTGTATTTTTGTGTGAACAGTATTAAGTACTCTTGTTATTATATGAGTAAATATGGGCTGTGTTCTTCACATCGTGTTACTTTCATTTAGATGCAGGTCTGATGCTAACACATTGAATTTTACACTACGGCAGCTGGTACAAAGTGGTAGTAAGAGGAGTTTTGCAACTGTGCAAGGATATGCTCACTGATGAGTGGCTGTGGAAAAAGAATCCTTCAAATCGTAATTTCACCGAAGTGTTCTTGAGGCATGTGTCTCTCATGGCTGTGTTAGTATACGTTGATTGCTAGATGATGCAACTTAACCTTTCAGAAAGATTTTTAAATTGGATGTTGCCTTAAAATTAGCAACACTTCTGCACGTTGATGAGATGCCCGTAAGATGTGAATCACCCTACGCTGTAGCTATGGCTGCCTTGGCACACACTTGTGGATGGCATGGGCAGCAGAGGTGTTTAGCTCCATGGGCACCCTGCGAGCATCCATCTGGATACTGGTGGGCCACAGATGGAAAGTGAGTTTGGCAGCTCAGGATCCTTAGGAGAAAATGTTGAGTTAGGAATTTATACTTTCTAAAAAAAAAAAAAAAAAAAAAAAAAAAAAAAAAAATCTCAGGGGGATTTAATTCAATAGTTCTTGACACCCTCAGTTGTGGAAGTTTCACATCAGGAGAGTGGTCGTCTCTCGGCTAACCATTAGGATTTTGCCAGCTGAAGATAACATCTGAAATGTCGCCTGCAAAGTAAGCAACAGCCAGGGATTTCGGAGCAGTAATGCTGATCTGCTTATCCTGCCAACTAAGCAGGCAGCCTGCACTGGGGCAACTTTCTTAATGGTGCCAGGGAGACCCTCCCAGTGGAAGGCATTAGCCCAGTCCGAGGTTGGATTGACTGGGTGTGGATAAGACTATCAAGGTCTGCTTAGGACGGGTTGCACTCTGTAGGCTAGGTGGAGATTGAAAATATCTGTCACGGATTCAGTTCTTACCTGAGCGTCCATGAGCAAGTTTCTGTTTAAACCACTGTTATACAGGATGAGCTTTTCTCCAAACTGGGAGCACGTGCTACTTGTCCCTTCCACCCAAACGCACCTCGGACTGTTCAAACCCTACGCTGTATGCCTACCTCCCTCACTTGGTCCAAAAGCCCTCAAAACCAGAGACTGTCGGAAGGGAATTGTGTCTATAGGGAGGCATTATTCTGTGTGACAAAGTTTTGGTGAGATTATAACCCAGGGTGAATCATTCAATGGGGAAAGGTCTTCTGCGTGAAAAACTTTCAGATTTTATTTGGGGAATATGAACTATAGGGCTGAAGCAAAAGACTGCCTCTAAAACCAGTCTTATTTAAATGGCTCCACGGTTGAATGTGTAATAATATGGAGTAGTTTCGCGTGTGATTTGACAATAAGCAGCAGCCTCTCAGACTCACGGCACTAACATATGCAGGGGTTGATGTGTAGACTACTCAACTTGGTAAAATTAAAATGCCACGAATAGCTAAGAACTTGTTGCTGTTCTTCCTTCATAATGTTTTGACAGGTGTCTGCAGTCCTGCCTGATGCATTTCAATTTTATTTTCTTACAGAGATGACGATAACAAAGAAAATTATCCGGACAACGCCGCTGTCGTAGAGGAAAGGCAGCTGCCTTTGCAAGCCGCTCAGCAGCACAAGCAGCAGGCGGTGATCGACCACGCTCTGAAGCCTGAAATGGGCAACTTGAAGCTAAGAAAACCTAAGCCCATTGCAAAGCTAGAGAATGGAAAGAGCCATGAGGAAAATCAGGTAAAGAACTAAATTCACTGAGGGTATGTTTACGGCACAGTGTCTGAGCGAACACACCTTTTGGAATGCAAAGTGGGACTCCCTGGTGATCCACAATGTGAGGAGAGACCACAAAAATCTGACCCGGTGTTCAGGGACCAGGAGTCCTGGAACCCTTCTGGAACAACAGACAATTTCTTTCAGACAGGGAATTGCAGGGAGGGGTGTGTTGCAATTGCTGCCAGAAGCAAGTGGAGTGCATAGCTGAAGATGTGCAAATATATCTCTTCAAATTTCCCGTGACTCCTTGCACCAAATGTAAAAATCTTGGTAGCTGCAGTACTTGATTGGACCTTTTCTGTTTTGTTTATTTGACTGAGGATATCTTGCACTGGTATTTTGGCTGCCAATGGAGAGATTTCATACTTTCTTTTTATCTCACTTTCTCTTTCTTTTCTCATCTTTAAATAATAAATCTACTCCAGTGCAGATTCTGGTACCAGTGCTCTTGCCCACAGGCTTCCCGGGTTGAGCTGAGGGGAGCAGAACTGTAACTTTTCTAAAGGCTATCAAAGAAAATTAGAAATGACGAAGCTTCCGTTGGTGTCTGTGGAGGTACCTCTGCTCTCCCCTGGTGCTTCCCAAGCCAAGCCTCATGTGCAGTGCAAGGGGTGGAGCTCTGGTGCCGGTCCCCTCAGCTAGAAATATTCTCATAACCAAGAACAGTTGATGTTAACGTTGGTAGATTGTCAGCCTGCAGTAGGCACACGGCCTGACATCTGTAAATACATAAATATGTCTGTATTTACATCTTTTTTTCTGATGTATAATGTGTTTGTCTGTATTCTGTCTCTCCTCCCTTCCTGTTTGTGGATAGAAACTTGCAGAGCACTTTCTGAAGTGCATTGAACCCATCACAGAGCAGGAATTATTTTGCTTCATGTTTTCAAGTTTAGAATGGAAATTCATCACCTTGGATGCCATGTCTTACCTTCTAAGTGGGGAATATAATTTTGAATCCCAGAAGAAAAAGCATACGGCATCCCAATGGCATTAGCACAGTCTCTTTCAGAATATCCATGTCAACTTTTGCCCTAATCTTTTTGAATGTTTTTCTGGAGTTCATCCCTGAGATGAATTAATAACTGCTGATTTTCTGCAACTGTATCGTGTTACTAGGTAATATTATTTAGGCTGCAGGGAGATGAGGTGTGCATATTTATCAGCAGATAAGAAAAATAAGAGGAAATATTTCCCTATGAAAAATAAGTGGAGATGTATCAGGAAAAGGGTAAGTCCTGATACACAGGGGAGTGTATCAGGAAAAGGAGACATGAAGTCCTAAACAGGGCAAGATCTGTCTCACAGTTGCCTTTTCAGCTACATCCAAGTCTCCGGTCTGCCCGCTCCCCGTGCGTGCCGTGCCTGCCCCTCTCACCCAGTGAGAGCTAACGCGGCACACATTTGCTGCTCTGGGGGATTTTACGTGGCCTGAAGTAGTTAACTGAAAATGTTGATATATGTTCATGGGAAATTTTCTGAGCATATAATTAGACTGCCATAAGATGCCAGTGCAGCTTAGATATGCAGCCTCTGGAAGGAAAAGCAGTGTCAGGCGGATAATTTTCACATGACTCAAGGGCTTGAATTAGGAAAGACGAAAGTGGTCCTGAGCCCCCCCCACTACCCATTGCTCCCATCTCTGGCATACTGGAAGAGCTAAGATGTGTAGGCACCGTTTTATCTCACCTTTGATTTGATGGGAACACTTGAGGGATGAGGGCTAGTGTGGAGCTTTAGGTGTAATAAAGAGTAATATACAGCATAAACACAAAGCAAACATTCCCCCGTAACAGAAACTCCACTCATTCATAGATGGAATTGTATCCTAGTGCTGAGAAAGACTTTTTAATGAATATCTTATATCTACACTGAGTTCCGTGGCGCTTGCTGTAGAGGAAAGCGTTTGCCTCTTGGAACGGTTTGCAGAAGGAAGCTGTTTGGGATAAAGCACCTACCAAGCCCTTCATTTCTCGCAGCTTTTGTTCTCATGAGTAAGGATGTGCACGGTCCTTGGCCACTAGTGCTTGCCTTGCTGCATCTTCAGCTGCCTCAAGGGCTTTTTATTCTTAGGGAAGCAAGCATCTGGCTGCTGCCTTTGCTAATGGTGCCTATGAAAAACAAGGCTCTGCTTGCAGCAGAGCTCTGCGGAGGGTTTGGTTCCGGGTGGGGGTTCTCACTGGGATCCTTGGTGGGTTCTGACCTCTCAAGGCCTGTTGCAGCTGTCTGGGTTAGCAGTCCTGGTTGTGAACTGGTGAACAATTGCTTCTCTCCATTTTGAAGCTGAAAGCAAAGTGCTGCTGTGCTGTTTCTAGTAGCTGTTTTTTATATGTATATAAAGTGGAAAAGTGGACCAGGCTGATGCTTCAAAACACTGTGCAACTGCATTTACCTTCCTTTTGGGGAACTCCTTGGCACCAAGCCACTCTGTGAGATAAACAACGTACTTACAAGCAGCTGGTGCTGAGCTGACAAACAGCAATATCTGAGCACACGCATTTACAAAAGAAAAGCACGATGCACTGCACATGGTGATTAAACTGGTTTTCCTTGTTTTCCTGAGTTTATGGACAGAGTGCTTTTCCAAGTCTTCTCACTTCCCCTACCTGACTTCTATGCAGCATCAGAAAGAAACGGTGACAATACCGCAGTGCTGGTTATCTCTTTCAAAGGTGTTGCTTTGATAGGCCAAGGGAATGTTTGCTACTCGCTCCTGTGTGTTATAAGCCTGTGAGTTGCTTTCTCAGAAAATTGTCCCTTTAAAATCAGAATACGCTGCTGGGAGATAATTAAGTTTGTTTCATGTGTTGGAAGCTTTAAAGTGTGTTTGGATGGGAACCAATTCTGTGTGTGTTTCTACTAGTGTGAATCCAGGGGGGTTCCACTGCAGAACGGTCACTGAGAGGGAACAGACCACGGTGTTCAAGTGGAGCAAAGGTGGCGGCAGGCTGCCGGAATGTGATCACACTGCTGTACTCCGGTTCCTTGGTTTCATCTTTCCTGTGGTTTCAGGAGATCATTTACTAATCCTGCAATGTTACCCTACAGAAAAACAAATTAATTGGGATTTATTTGACTTCAAGAGGTGAGGAAGCATATGCTCAGAAGATGCTCAGGGGTGTCAGTGTGAGAACAGATGGTGAGGAATGGAAAGTCTGCTTTCCTTGCTAATCCTTTCTCCTGTCACTCACCTTCGAAGCACATAGAATATCGATTATTAAACGAGTCATCCTCAAATTCCTTATTGTTACTGAGAAATAAAGTGACACTAAACATGCTACCTAATAGGTAGAGACAGTAAAAGCTTAAAGTCATATAATCAAGGTGAATGACTCTAAAAATGAAACGGTGGCTTGAGAATCAACGCCCTAGAGGTGGGGAATGCTGAAAACTGCGGTGTGAAATTTTGTATTTTGAGTATAAAGTAAGTGGGAAAATTGCACGGATTTAATGTAAATTTACATTAAAATAGTGGTTTTAAATGCACAGGCGTCAGAAAAAAGCCAGATTTGATGTTAACACGTTAGCTACAGAAATACATGAACGTGTCGGGCAGTCTGCGGGTTCAGTTTTTAGGTGCACTCTGTTTATGTTTAAGCCGTACGTCACATCGTGGATTAAATCTGTTCAACTCACTGTCCGATAAATGTTCTTGCTTCTTTTCCTGTACGGACTGGCAATTCCAGGAGGGGTAGGAGGCTTTTCTGCTCAGGACTCAGTCCTGGCTATCTTCTACATCGACACAGCACCACGAGCTCTACCAGGGCTGTGGGCCTCAACGCTGGTACAATATTTCCATGGTGCTTGCATCTGAAGAGAGAAGGAAGTGTCTGGGTGTTGGATAAAGCATACGAAGGATGCAAGGCACTTTCTGGAGTTCAAAGGCAGCCACTGTTTTTGTAGGTGTAGAATGACCTCAGCCCTCCAAGTTCCCATCCAAACAGTTCTATCCAAACTTCCGACTTTCAGGCTCTCAACTAAGCTTTGAAACTGGAGCAAAATCAGACTCATTGCTTTACCAGTGGAAGTGAACACTATTGTTCTACAAAGCACATTGTATTTTAATTTTGTAAACTATTAGAATAAAATATCGGATGATAAAGGCTAATAAAGAAGTAAGAAAGAGTCCCGCTTTGATGATTACATTTTCAAAGAACTTCATTAAGTTACCCCTTTGAAATGGAAGGGAAATATTATAACCCATTTTATAGGTAAGGAAATGAAGATGTGCTGAACACATCTTGCCACAGCCCTACAACTGGCTTTCAAAAGCTTGGAGTGAAACACATACTTTTCTAATTCCTTCTCCCTCGATTTGTTGGACTAAATTGGCTTTTTTATTTTGTGTGGCAGGTTGGATGATGTGACCGTTTTTTTCCACACTGCTCTTTACTCCTCCTGCAGTAATACTCTATTCATAAAGCTGTGCATATGCTAGGGAAGGGAAAGAGCAAGAGGAAAAAGGAAAGTGGTTAAACCTTACGAAGCTTATTTAAGCGAACTGCATTTGCTTTTGTCAGGCAAAATTTTTCTGATAATGCCCAAGTAATAAAATATTACTGACTTGTGAGTAAATAATTTCAAATGAAATGTGAATGTATACGTAGCCAAAAAAATACTGAACTCTGTGTATGTTCAGCTCAGATGCCGACATCTATTATCTCACTAATACACAGAAAATGGGTTACAGTCTGCTTTGGTCTCCAAAAAATTTTACAGTGAAAAAAGGTACTACTTTGTTTAGAACCTTTTCTAGTCTGTGTTTTCCAGATGTTTCCAGATTATTACTAAAAAATAACAAACCACAATCAGCATCCCATCTCGTGGAGCTCTTGTTTTCTTAAAGCAAAATATTCCGTTAAGCCTGATTGGTACTGACAGGGCAATCAACTTTCTTTTTATTTTCTTTTTTTTTTTTTTTTTCTTCTTTTTCTTTGGGCAGGAGCTGGAAAGTGCATTGCCAGGCCTCTCGGAGTGTCAGGGGAAGGCTGGATCCTCAGCTAATGACTGTGCACAGAACACGGCTTTAAGATGCCAGGAAGCAGTTGTGAGATTTCAACCGAGGTAAGCCTTGGGATGAGACAGCGCATTTCAGTTCTGATTAACTGTGGGAAAGGCTAATTCATTTGCTGCCTTTTGTGTAAAATATTCAGGCTCCTGGCTCTCATTGGCAGTTGTGTTCTGTATTTATGTGGCTGGAACTATTTGGAGAATTTGAAAGGGATGAAGATAAGAATGCAAATTTCATCTTTCTTTAAACCCCTTACTTTTCAAGCAGGAAGAACATCCTCAGATCAGGAACTTCAATTCCTCTGTGCCAAGTTTCAAAAATATCTTGGCACTTCTCTCTCCTCTGGTGCTGACGTGCCTCACTGTTTCTCAGAGCCATATTCTCACTGAGAAATGGGAATGTGAACCTGCACACCTGGTTTTAGCATGGGTGTGCGTTTAGGTATGGCTTAGACCCTGGATGCTGTGGCAACTGTGCTTGTTCCAATGCTGTGTAGGGCACAGGGTGTTCAGGTCAGGCATTACCTGAGTCCTGATGGCAGATAACTCAGCTCTGGTAACTGTTGGAAGTCACAGTTCCTCCTCTGATCCTTCATGGCTCTGCAAAAGGATAAAAATGAGGTTTCAACTCATCCAGCTGGCCCAATCTACCAGCAAAGGTGTGTCCTAAGGATAAGAATGCACTTTTACTGGCCGGCTTGGACTGTGTAAATAAGATGAAGTTCTTCACAGCCATCAGTTTTTGGGGCACTGCTTTACAGATTTCCCACGCTGGGGTTCTGGTGGGGCCCTGCTCTGCTGTGCGCATCCCGTCTCAGGCAGGTGAGCCAGGTCTCTGCTCCTTGTTCTCTGTCTCGAGGTGCGTGACAGCCTTGGTGCTGTGTGGCAGAGGCTCTGGCTCTCTTCGGAGGGACCGGGGCAGCAGGTCCCAGGGATGCTCAGTGCGTCAGGGCACAGCTAGTTGACGTCCAGAGCTCGTTGCCTCCAAGCTGTTTCACGTCAGGACTAGGTTAGTAGTGACGGTTGCCATCCAACGGCAGTTTGGTGCTTCTGTGAAATGAACTGGGTGTCTTCACCACAGCTTTTAGTAGGCAACACTGCAAATGGTATTAATTTGTGCTCTCAAAGGAATCTTTAGCAGAATGACCAAGCATTTAATTAGCTTTCACAAAGAACTGCCTTCACCCTCCAATGCTTGTATGTGCAATTGAGACACCGCATCTCGGTGTTTCTAATTAGCCCCAGCCTAGGAAGCCTGCCTTCTCTTTTTCTGGCATTCTTTATACTAGGAAAAAAAATCACCTGGATTTCTCGTAAAGAGGAGCACAGTGAGTTTGGTATCAGAGAGTTAGACCTGCCTAGTGGCTCTGCTGGTACGAGGTCTGTACAGGGGTAGATAATGAAATAACATTGGTTAGTTTTGATTGATGAAAGGAACATGATGAAAGAAACATGGACTTTAAAGAACCGGAGCGTGCATGAATAAACAGCAACTACAGCAAAATCCCCCTGTCCACTTCGTTTGGCCCTTTTAGTTTAGTTTGCCTGACATGAAACCGTTGTTCTCTGTGCTATTTATTTCTGCGTAACACCAGGGTAGCTCCTCTTGCAAGCCTGCTATCCACAAGGGCTAAGTCTGTTAAATAACGGTACCTGGATTTAGCAGGGTAAGAGCTGTGAAAGCATAGTGATCAAATCTCAAATCTTGCCGTGTCAGTCTGATTATATCACAACAAAACGGAGGCGACTTTACTCTCAAATGAGGAACTTAAAATACGGAGTAAACAAGCATTAATGCATCGTCCCTGGCCTCACACGCACACTTTATTTACTTTAACCGTCCTTGGAAAAAATACTGCCACCACCCAGCTGGGGCAGGGGACTTGGAATTACATGTGCTGAAGTTACCACTTGCAGTTTGAGGGTCACTGTGCCTGGTGACACCTCGCGAGGGTGACCAGCAGCTCGCCCCGTCCCTCTGCTGTCAGTCAGCTTTGATAGGGCCAGAGCATGCCCATGTCTCGGCTCATGCAGATTGCTGCCTGCTGCATCAGGGTCCCAGAACTGGCTCGTGCAAGAGGCTGTGAAACACGGCTGCCAGGGGAGGACGCCTTGCCTCGTGTTCTGTCTTCTCTGCTCTGGGACGTGGCAAAGGTTAAGCGTTGAGTCTTGGCAGCAGGCGACCATCACAGCTAGATTTTGACAGAACGCATCTGCTAGCCCCACAAAACTTGAGTTTCGCTAGCTTCCACCCTGGTTTTGGTAGGTTACTGTTAAAATTAACAATGCTTTGGCACACTACGTCTGCCTAGGACCCCTAACTCACGGACCAAAAGCTTTCTGATCTTTTGGAGAAGAGGAGATGGCCATACTGCTGCAGGGGTGCTGCTGGGCAGGCTCCTCTATCAGATGTGTGTGGGGAGAATAGAAGAAGGATTTATTTCTGTCTCATACTAAGAAGCAAGGTTGATTATTTCTAGTGTGGCTTGTTGTTACTTCTGCTTTAATTTCATTTCTGCAGACTGCTACAAGCTCTGTCATTAGTCTCATCGGATTTCAAAAGTCTAAATGCCTCTGGACTGGTCAGGTTTTTTTTTAAAAAATCTGTTCCTGTGAGTGTGGGGCAGCTAAAAACAGGGTAGTTTTAATTTGTTTAAATATGATTAAAAAAAATACTGAGTTATGAAGAACTTTTCAGTCCCTGTTAAGCAGAGCAATCTAAATTCAGGGTAACCTAACGAGGGATGTTCATAAACAGATACGTGACAAAGAAGAGCAGAACAGGAAATATAAGAGGAAAAAAAAATTTACAGAAATATAACTAATAAGTATATGTGTTGATTGTTTTTTTGAGGGGGCTACTTTAATTCTATGATAACCACTGAAACAGTGAAGGAAAAGTTCTAGTGGGATTGGAAGGAAATGGAAAAATAGACTTGGTGAAGGGTTTTACAGTCTGAAGAGTGAGGGAATGAATACTGTTGTTCCTGGCTGAGCTGCCCCTGACCTGAGAATCAAGGATTTTAATTTCCAGAGGTGTTTATCATCCATGATTTATGAACATCAGCATCAATTTAGAATATAAAATGCCATCTGCATGGAAGGAAGCCTTTATATTTTCTCACAAGAGCATGAATTTCTAATGCTATTGCTTGTGATTACATTGAATACTGCGCTAGTCATTGTGTGTAGTTGGGTAAGAGTAATATAATCTGCACCTTTGGGAGATAGAAGTTATATGCAGGCCCCAGGAACAAATGTTACAATAAAGAGAATTGCCTTTTTTTTTTTTTTTTTTTTTTTTTAACAGAGAATAGGAAAGCCAATATGGAACAAGACATCTGATTACAAAAAGCTGCTCATACTGATTGCCTTCCCAAAGGCAATCAGCAAAACTGGTGTGGATTGCAGAGCTGTGTACACAGTTACCTGGATAGAGGACGGTGCTTTCTTCAGATGCCTGTGACACAGGGAGGGGGCTGAGCCATGGGAATCCTGGGCGGTAGGAGTGTCAGTGTTTCTGAGAAGGTTGCATTCCAAGTCAGCGTGGGAACTACACTTTGGGGTTAAGTTTTCTGCAAAAGAAAAATTGCTGAAAGCTCCCCCTCTTCCCCATTCCCCAAATAAAATTGGAGTGGTTTTATTGAATAGGATGGTCCCTGGGTTGGTCCCTAATTTCTGCAGAGGCTGGAGGGTGGCACTTGCTGTCAGGGCTATGACTCTTGTCCGGGAAACCTGGAGATGCTGGGAGCCCTGGGCTGCCCTGGATTCTGGGCTCAGCCAGTCTCCTTGTTTCTGTGCTCCCCCCAAGGGAGCCCAAGCTCTAGCAAGGCTTTCAGTATTTAAGTTTTCAAGGCAAGAAGCTTTTGAGAGTGCAGTTCAGGTGGGGACTGTCGTGGTTTCCATGCTTTCTGCTGAACAGCTACAACTCGGGGGCACGTGGGAGGGAGCAGGGAAGCTGCAGAAGTGCTGATGTCCCTGGGCCGTACAGCGGACGCGGTGAGGCAGAGCTCAGAGCTCCTGAGGCTGTGTGCCCATGCAGGCTGCCAGGTGAGCACGGAGAAAACTTAGCCAGATTCCAAACCGAGTCCCGCCTAAGACCTGGCAAAAGTTCCTCGCGACCAGTATGTGTCTGCGAATAGCTCTCTGTCAGTAAATCAGGATTTGCTGATCAAATATTGCTTTGCTGGGAAACGACTGACCTGTTCCTAAAATCACTTTCTTCTGGAATCTTGATATTAAAATATTGGCATTTATTGTTCCAGTGATGCATCTTGTATCAAGGCACGGAAAATCCCTGAGCAAGCTCTTGGGTTGCAATACACTTAGAGAAGAAAAAAAAAAAAAAAAAAAAAAAAAAAAAAAAAAGAAAATAAAAAGGGAGAGGTTGAGAAAGGACAGAGTGTCAAAAAAAAAAGGCTTCTTACTGTAGCCCAAGTAAGGACTGTGCCTGGTGAGTACGAGAAGTGCTCATAATAAGAAAAATAATTGTGGCCATCCACAGCCAGCCTTTGCGCAACTGCTGTGATTGATGAGGCAGGCACGGCTGCGCTGGCGGGCTGCTTGTTCCAGCACTTGGAGACTGCCCAAGGAGTAGCCAGGGTGTATCCAAACAGCCTTCAGCCCTTAATGGCGGCGTTTCCTTCCGCGTGCTTTATGTTCATCCGAAAGCCTGTTGCAGTTTATTGCTTCGTAAGGACTTTTGAAGCATCCACCTGCAGCCCTGTGGCAAGGCGGCGACTACGTTTGAATTTCATAATCCTTTTTGCTGTTTGTGGAGATCTCAGAAAGGACCTTTTTGTTTTCCTGGCACTGAGGCGTGTTGGTTGTGGGGTCTGGCTCTGTACACGTGTGATGTAACCTCTGGAGAGGATGAACCAGTCCTCTGATGCTGTACTAAAACCTTTCTGAGCTCTTAACCTGGTATGACGCCCTCAGGGTGGGAGGGGGGAAGCCGGTTGCTGGGCTGGAGACAGGGAAGGAGTATTGGGCCAGGAGAGGCTGAAAGTGAATCTGGAAAAGGGGGTTCAACCCACAGCACAGCATGTGGCTTGCTTGCCAGGATTTATCCTGACATCACGAAAACATTAATTGGCCCAAGACACCGAGCATGTGTGGCATCGTGGTGCATAAACACATAAATCTTCTGAGGATGGGTTTAGTGTAATCCAGGGCTGGATTGGATTGAGACTTGCAAATTACAGAATGTAATGCTCCTTTCTGGGTTCTGTCTGGGAAATAAGAAGTAAATTTGCTTAGGTTATCTTCAAACATTTTTCCTAGTTTTTAAATGACGTGGTTTTATTTGAATTTTATGCAAGTTTGGAAGTAATATCATGCATAATTCAATAATTCACATGTTCTGCTCTGCTTTTTAAACAGCACACTGCTCATGCAAATTGATCTTCCCCTTGAAGTCTAGTAGGAGCTCTGTTATGATAATTAGTATTTAGATTTTTTTTTTTTTTTATGTCCACAAGCTCCAAATGTCCGTGTTGCTGCGTTGCATCTTTGTCACCTGTGCCACGCAGAACAGGGTAATTCTGCCAAAGCCAGAGTCTGTAGGGAGGGTAAGAGATCGGACCGTTCATATTTTATAAAGAATGATATAACATATATTTGAGTAGTAGCCACAGAGAGAATTCCATTTTCATTATTTTACATGATGTAAATTATACAAAATAAGGACTGCCTGCAGTTATTCAGAATTTCAGCAAAGGCTTAAAATTATTTTAATGTAGTCAGAACAGATGGAAAATTAAGGCTTGTTCCTGCTGCTTTTGAAGTTAATGGATATTTTCTGATTGATTTTTAATGAGTAGGATGCAACCCATAGGTATTAAATAGTAAGCCCTTTGTTGCCTGATGACAGCCAGATACCCTGCGTTTGCCTAGCGGGGCAGTTAAGTCTTGGTGAAAAAACAAAAAAGCACACCGCAAAACTCTCTCTATATAGAGTCAGCTCAGCTCAGCATACGTATATGACAATGTAAATGGTCTTCACACAAAAATGGTTACTCACCTTCATGATTTCAGTACCTTCAGAATCCAAAGAATGCAAAACTAAGAACTTCTAGTATTTTTCTTGAAGAAACAGTAAAATACCAGACTTCTGCATCCCTAAACCAGCAGACAAGAACATCAGCCTGAATGAGAGCGAAGGGGTCCTTCAGGGATGCTGTAAACTTTTCCCTCCCCGGAGTGCAAGACTCATGAGTGATACAGCTGTGAATTACGTAGAACTCTGTAGAGCACCTGTAAGAATCCCTGCTAGCGTTTAGGTTTTTGTTTTATTTTTTTAAGGAGAGTTCACATTTTCACGTGTTACGCACCCTGAAAGGAGAAATCCACATGAACACTAGAAGTGTACAAATCTGACGTGTGTCCTTTTCCTTTCCTTTATGTTTCGCTCTAGTTTGATGCACTAAATCACTCTAAATGCTTTTTTCTTCATTAGTGAAGAAATTCTTCAGCTGTTGGTAGCTTGCAGATCCTTTGTTAAGTGTTATTAAACCAAACTATAAATATTTCACCCTTTCTTATTAAATGAGCCCTTTTGTCTCTCCCCATGCTTTTTCCCTTTTGTCTCTCCCCATGCTTTTTCCCTTTTGTCTCTCCCCATGCTTTTTCTCAGTTTTCTTTAACTCTTCTGCTGCCTAAAAGCTAGAGATAGGCTGTGAGGCATTAACCTTTTGCTTCTGTAACTCTCCTTCTGCTCTCTTCACATTATGAAGACATTTGCTATCCACGTTCAGGTGAGGTGGCAGAAATAAGATGTCTGTGGAGAGCTGCGCAGAGATGTGGACAGGTGCTTGTACGGCAGTCAGCCAGCCAAGGCACCTCTCTGCTCAAGTATCTCCAGAAATCACTCTCTTCTGATCACGTATCTGGACGGAGGTGCAGGCTGGCTGGCCTGTGAGACCTCCCGTTCTGGTGCTGGATGTACCACCACCAAAAGGACTCGTTCTCGTTCCTATGTGACTTGCACACCTTGGATCCTGTTTGGAGGCGAGTGGTTGTTCGCCCTTGTGTAGCTATTTAATGCGTCTGTTTTCATAAGGAAAGTGGCATATCCATCATTCCAGTCTTTAAATGTCTCCTAAATCTCTGAAGAACCACAGCAAAGGCCTGTGCATCTGTCTGTACTGGTTTTGAGGTCTCTAGAGACTTTTAAAACTGCCTGGGTTTGCTGGGACTGAGCACAATGGGTTGAAAAATTATTTTGTCCAAAGGAATCTGGGTTTTGCGTTAGTTTAGATCGTGTCTGTGAGTGAGTCTCCCAGGGGCCAGCAAACGTTGCCCCCTTTGCAGCAATGAGAAATCTCATTCTCTGAGACAGTTTTCTGGCTTCAGCCGAGTCGCAAGTCAACTTGTGATACACCCATGTCAAAATTGCAAAACAGAACTTAAGCAGAAAGTTGAAGCTTGGGAGCCTGAAATGCCATCAAATTTAAATATGGAAAGATTTATTCTTCATGGCTCTGATACAGGAAAACTCTTGTTCCTGACTTAAAGCATGTGGGACAAATCATGCTTGGATTTAAACATATGTTTGAGCTTTTTCTTGGCTTTAACCCTATTAGCTCACCAAGATACTGAGAGCTGATCATGCTTCTGTAGAACTTTTTCTGCGTGACACAGTGAGCCTGGATTTTACTATCATAGTTGCCAGGACCTCATTCACAGTTTAAATATATTATTTAGGATTCTAGTAAAATCACTGTTGTTTTGAATGAGGTATAAAATACAGATGTAGCTTACATAGAAATGTTATTTTTTAAATAAAACAGATTCATCCCATAACTTGTAATTTATGTACAGACATGACGAAGAGTTTGAAATATTTGCAGCACAGATAAGCAATCTACTGAGTGATAATTCTTGGTTTGTTTTGTAGAATAGATGAGAACACATGCATTTCACCAAAAGAAGCAACTGAGCAACTTAACAGCTTAAATGAGGTAAGCTTAACCAAAAATTGATGTATGTTACACATTTTTAATTAGATGTTTGGGTTTTGTTAATTCTAAGGTCTTGGAATAATGTAATCACTTGAGAATCTCGGGTTGGCTTTTTAATGAATCATTTTAGCTATGTTTTTGGAGAAAAGCTTAAAAATATGATACATGACTGCTATAATAGTTTAAAAGCCAAAAGCAAGAGATTTTAAAAATATTTAAAGCCACCTTTACGCTGCTTTCTGTTTATGCTCAGAAAAGAATTAAACATTCAATGTTGACTGAGTGAAATGCCATCTTTCAAGAACATTTGATTTTTTTCCTCATATTACAGCTCAAAGTGTTCAGCTATCAAATATGTTTTGTTTAAAAATAAGGAGTTCTCAAGGCTGCTACTTCCTGCATAAACTATGAAGAGTAGAATGTAGTCTAGAAGGAACTCTTGTTGTGAGATGGGAAAAGGGGAGAGTTGGAGTGAAGAGAGGAAGCAAGGAAAGCCAACCACCACCTGTGACACTTGAAACAAAAGCTGTTTTCACAGGGCTTTATGCCGGGAGGATGGTGCGAGAGTAGAGCACAGAGAAGCGGTTTGTGTGATCATGACAAGCCACGGATGAGCCTGGGCTAGATTCTCACAATCAGCAGTATACTGGAGGCCAAAACCAAGCTTTGCCGTTATTCAAAGTGGGAAACCTTACAAAGCATCTCCCACAAACAAGGGTATCCACATACTAGCATGGAGTATGCTTAGGCACTGCAAGGGCAATGAACAACACTGCACTTAAATAAGGAGCAGACAAGATTTTTAAGTGTAGACTAAGACAACTGTGGAAAAAAAAATAAAAATTAAGGGGAATAAAAGGGGGAAGGGGAGCCCATTTCTGTCAAACCGTGGAAAAGACGGCTTTGTTTCCATCGTCAGCTAGAGAACATCTATGTCTATTAATAGATGCCTGACTTCCATTAGGGGAAAACCACAATGTGTCCTTTTAAAGGAATTCAGACTTAATCTTCTCGTTACAATGAATTATTTCCTGTGCATTTGTGTCATTGTTATGCAGCTCACTTTTGAAAATCTCACTACTAACAAGTAAGGCACATTCCGTGATATAAGGGAGTATACTCAGCCTCCGTCTAGCCGGTCAAGGCCCTGGGAGAAATAATTAAGTTATTGTTTCTTTCGAGAAGCCTCATTGCAAATAATCGCCAAATCTTCCACTTAAAACCTCCCATTTAAAATTCTGGCAAAGGATTCCTTAAAGGTTAAGGTAAAATATTATAAATAAAACCAGTGTATGATATTAAAACAGATAATTAGATCAGAAATTAAAATAAATTGCTAATAATTTATGGGGAATGAGCAAGGGTTACATTCTGGTGCTTTCTTCTGCGAGATCTTAGATTGTATCGTGTCTCAGGTCTACTGCAAACCCAAACGGACATGTGTCATAAGAAAATATATTCCCTTCTTGTATCAGAGAAAGTGGCGTCTCTCTTCACTGCTCACCCGTGGCGTTATACAGACCCAGGGCATATCTTGTTCTATCTTATTGTTGCTTGTTTGTTCCCCATAAAGGAAGTTTTGAATTGAAAATGTCACACGCCTCGAGACACAAATATTGCCATAACAGATACTGCAGAGATTTCCTTGCGTTCACATAAAATATGCCTATCTTATTTGAACCTGAAGTCTCAGATTAAAAAGCAAGGGAGATGCTTTTCTACGTCGCTGTTCTAATGTGACATATAAAAGCTTTAATTTCCTTAGAGTGAAGAAATTGAACAGGTTGATATTTGCTCAGTTTCTTTTCTACGTGAATCACTTCAAAGGCCATTAAATGTTGAAAGCTTGGATTATTCTCTTTCTCTGCCCCATCCAATTTTATAAATCCAGTAAATCCATCAAGAAAGTGGATATACTGGAATGGGTGCCTTCCTGTCCTGGAGAGGCAGGAGCAGCCCAGAGGCAGGGTGCAGGCACCCTTAACAGTCAGAAGCACCGTGTGCGGGGCAGGGTGGTTTCAGTTTAAGCAGAAAGCACCTGGTATGGGCTTTACTTCTCCTTTCTTCTCCCTGTCAGCCTCAGGCTGAGCCCAGGCAGGGTCCATGGGTGGGGCAGGCCTATTCCCTTTCCATCCTCCCTCAGTTCTTAAACTTACCAGACCTTAGGATGTCCGCGAGGATGTCCAGCAAAGGATGCTGATAATAATAATAATAATAATGCTTGATCAGGGCAAGAAATAATTTCTCGCAGCAGTGGCTCTCTTCTAGCCGTTGCCAGCTACCTGCTGTGTGTCGGGACAGGCAGCGAGCACCGGTTGATGAGCAGGTTGGGCAGTGCTGTAGCTTTTGGCGCAGTGAAGGAGAGCGCGGGGCTGCGGGGCTCCATTGGCACGTTGCCTCCCATCGGGCTGCGGCCCCCTGGACGTGCTGACCGAGACGTCACGTGGAGCTGATCCTGCAGGGCCCACGCGGGCGCCTCCAAGCTGGAGAGGGAGCTGCTGCTGGCACCCACCGAGAGAACGTTTGTGAGTCGTTTCAGGGGACTCCCCCTCATTGCCACAACGTTTTGGTGATAACTTGGGAGAATTTATTCATTCAGGATCCGGTTCTCCAGAGGGATTTAGCAGTGTGAGTGTAGGTGTATGGTTTGTAAGAGGTTACCTATCAATAATTCCTTGTCCTAAGGCCTCAACTCTTTATTTTAATGATCACTGGATGGAAAGAGAGATGGTCAGTGGGGTACAGTCTACAGGTTTAATGGTCTCTTTACTACGGGCTGAGCTTCCTCTGAAAACGGCAATCCTTTTGTACTGTGTTTTCTCCAGTAGGCAAGAGTATGACACTTTAACAACTGTGTTTTCTTAAAGCATTTGCAAAAATAACAAATAGGAGAGGAGTACCGCACTGTCACTTTTTCCATTTTCCTCAGACTTTCTGTAAATGTCTTTATTTTTCCATTATCTTTGATCTGGAATAACGCAGGATGTTTTTACTTCTAGTGGAACTGGCATAGCTCAAGTTCTTTGAGTTGTCAGTTACTTTAAGAGGTTATAAGAAGCGATAAGAAACCTTTGTCCAAGACAGTTCCTTCTTTTTCAGGCTTTCAAAATACTGTTCTTAAGAGGCAACAATATGGTTATTTTTCCAATGAAGCTTAAGGATCCAATTTAAATATTAATATGTCCTTTCATTTGCATTAGCATGGATCAGGAATTACCGCATCTGAAACCCTAACGTTAGGCACCAGAGTAAAGCTGGAACAAGCATCAAATCTGAAGTATTTGAACTGAGATAATCAGCTGATATAATATACCATAGCTTAAATTACTTCAATAATACTGGTTTTCCATGTAAAATTACTAAAATTTATGATGGAACCTGTCACGACCTAACATTTCCCTCTCTATGTATTTTAGCTATTTGTCTTTGCTTCTGACGTGCTTTGCAAGTTCTTTTAAATGGCCCAGTTGGGCCCCAGTTCAGGTCTGGACTGTGAGAGAGTTTTAAGTATAGCGTGTGCACAGGCTGGTCCATCTCCAGAGGAGAGGTATTGCTGAGTGTGTGCGGCGCAGAAGAGTGCAGATCCCCACCGGTGTGGCATGCTGCCTGGAGTCACATCAGGGCTGGGCAGGTTCTGGAAAGTGCTGGAGAATTAGGGGGAAGTTGGAAGGGGTTAGTAAGATTTCAAATAAACTTGGGATGCTTGAGAAGAGGAAGACAGGGCTCAGGCTTTATTTTTCTCTCTTTTTGCCGTCCTTTTGCTGGCAGTTGGTAGCATGTTGGCCTGCCACCGGTGAGCCCAAGGATAGAGGACCTGCTGCTAGTCGCTGATACTAGGATGATCCTCTTGCCCATGAGTTGGCGACCCTGGGCAGCTTTGTGCTGGGCCTTTGCTTAAAGCTATGTCTCCTTAGATGTGTTCCCATAAATATCACGGATAGTGAGTGCACCGTGGCAGTGCCATAGTACTCAGCTGTGTTTTAGGAGTAAGATGAGGTTGATGGCATACTCCAGATTCATCATCTCCCCGGTAACATCAAAACGATCAAAACGACTTTCTCTTTTTTCTCCCTACATCAAGTCCCTGTCAAGGGCACATCCGTGAAATGATATAAAGTATTATTATTATTATTATTATTATATGAATTTTTTTAGTATTTTGGCAGTGAATGGAAATTTGCCATCCACCCACCTTCCACAGATGGGTGAAAAATATCACTTAGAGCAACTGAATATAAACCAGCTGGTGAGTTACAGCATGAACATTGCCAAAATACAATGTTTAACAATGTAGTCTGTGGAATGCTTTTTTATACTGAACTTGGCATAAATACTAATGTATCACAGTGATACAAAGTGAATGTATTTTCTTGGTATGGGAATTTTTTTGGTCAAATACTTGAAGTAACAGTTTGTGAAGGTTAGGTATTTTTGTCGGTTATTTGCCTATGTTCTCCTTATCGGTATGTTCTTCTGGTATTTACACCTATGTTCTCGTCACTTGCCATCAGCAGCTCTCATGATAAGGTCCGGGCTGGGATCAGAGTCCTCACTGGTTTGTAACTGGTATGGTCATCTTTTTGCTAGATGACATTGATGACTGTAAAACGCGGCCTGTCTGTTGTGATAATTCCATAGCCGCTTCATTTGGGTCTAGCTGGGATGACAGGCAGTGGAAAATGAGGCCTGTCACGTCATGAAAACCCTTCCCAAAACAGTGCCCATGGGTATGATTCCAGGCAGCACCCTTCCCTTGACAAGGAAAATTCACTGCCTCTTGGAAACTGTTGAAGGTGAGATGGTTTCCATCACTCTGTAACTGAAGAAAGCCCTGCCGAGAATTAAAGAAGGCTTTGGATGTACCTCCTAAAAGATGCTCAGATTGATGGCAAGAATTCTACTAAATACATCAGAAGCAGAAAGCCAAGTAAGGCTGTCAGCAAAGGAGCCGAGTGAATTCGTTATACTGGTCTTCCCTGAGGAAGCCCACGCTGGGGACATTTGCACACCCGGTATATTCTCTGTAGCAGACAGCTGAGAGGAGTCAGATCAGTTTGAAGCAATTTATGTAAAATATTGGGCCAAACGGTGTCAGTGAGTGACAAGGGAAAGATGCCAGTCATTCAATAGACCTGGAGAAACTGAGGAGCGAAGGTGAAGCGCTGCTGGTCAGGATGAGTAAATTATCCTTACAAATGGCAGCTGGGCCAGGGGATGGTGGGCTCTTAATGCAACCTGTGCCTGGGAATAGCAAAATTATCTTCTGCCTCTATAATCACGCCATATTTTTAAAGAATATTATTACACTTAGGCATTTAGTTATGAATCGGTGCTTGATCTTGCAGTCACTTCTTTCTCGGTACTCCAAGATGAGATGTCAAAATGTATCTTGACAACAGATGAGAGGAACTTAATTCTAAAATAAATGCACAACACGAGCCATTTATTTGCTCACAGGTTGTGAATATTAAGCAGCTTCCGACAGGGATGGCCAGAGCTCCTGTTCACTCTGGGACCAGGCGCGGGAAGGTGTTCCTGCATTGCCCTTTTGACCTAAGCTGAGGACAAAGTCCAAGTGTTTGATTGTACCCTGACCTGTTCTGTGGAACGGGATGCGGATTTTGAAGCACTCCTGGCAGCTCACAGAGGGCGGCAGGATCTAGTTATGGTGATCTTGTGCTTTTGTGAAACTTCCCTATTTTGAGGTATTTCCTAGAAAGAACTACTTACTGCTCCCTTTTCACCGCCTGAATTCTATAAAAGGAATGAAAGGATCAAGGCTGATAGTCTTCCCTGCTGTTCTCAGCCAAATTAGTTTTCTTTATTTTTTCTTTTTTTTAACCTAAAACACTGGCATCCTTGGGTTTATAAAAGGGCTGCATTACAGTAAAAAAAAAAAAGCAAAGATATTAAACTACTCACTACAGAGGTGACATGTTGTTACACAAAGGAAATTATTTCAGTAAATAAAGTCATTATTTCATTCAATGAATCCATAAGTCGGTTTCAGGTTTTTGACAGAGTGGGAAAAGGAGCTTTGCAGGGTATAAACTCGATTTTTTTTTTTTTTTTCTGTTGCAACTCAGATTTTTTTTTTCTCAGAAAATGCTGTTCACAAATATGTGCCATTTGAGTGACAACATTTTATGTATATTTGGCATGTGCCAGCTGTGTGACTATTAAGACAGCCTTGTGTGATTTTGTTTTATGTTGCAAGCTGTATCTCCCTCGAGAGAGGGGAACTGAATGCCTGGGGTACGGGTAGTGACTCATTTTGCCCAGTCAGATGGTGATTAGGGCTTTCACAGCATTTACATCACAGCAAGGTGCTTGTGTCAGATTGTACAGCTGAATAGTGCATGCAGCACTAAAGATTAAAATAAGAAACGGACCAAGCATGCCACAGTAGCTGGAAGTGATGCTGTAGATAACGAGCCTTGTCCTCATTGATTTGTCTGCAGCAAGTGACAATGATCTGTTAATTTTACCTTTGCAGCCTATAGGAAATGATCTGGTTGCCCTGTAGAAGCAGCAGCATCCTATATAAAAGCTACGTCTACATAGAGAAGTATCTTTTAAAAAGTCAATTAAAAAAAATATCTCTTCTAAGAATGTCATGAGAGAGCGTGTTCTCAGTAACTCTTTGTTCACTGCTGGGTACTGCACTCACTGGCTGGAGAGGGAGATTTGTTGGTTGTTGTTTTTTGTTTTTTTTTTTTTAATGAATGGTAAATGGGGAGGGACATAATGTCATCAGATCGTGATGTCAGCCCAATGAATGAAAACTTGCTTAATGTATTGCTTCGACACCAAGAAAAGGGACACCATCTCAGTTTGGCTTCCTAGAATAAATCGTCTTTTGCTGACGAAGTCATCTTTCCCACGTGTCATGAATAATCCATGTAAATCGGGATTTAAATAACCAGAAACCAGGAAACTCGTGGAACAGGGCACGTTTGTTCTCTCGCACATCCTCTGCGAGCTGCTGGTGGAACAGCCCTTTGCAGGCGCTGCTGATGGGCTCGGGGAGTTGAAGAGCTGTCGCTGTGTTCTGCTGCTCTCTAGCTAGCCCAATGTTCTGCTTTTGTCTGCAGAATTCTTTGTTGAAGCTACAAGCCCTTGAAACCGATCTGTGCTCTGCTTTTCTGCCAACCCAGGAAGAAACTCCTCAGCTGTCGGCACCCAAGGATCCAGCCCCTTCCTCAGTCCAAGCCTGCGTGCAAGCCGATGGGGCCAGCTGTGGAGGTAAGCGATCAGGTCATGATGTGTTCTCATTTGCATTTATAAAAAAAGCCTTGTGACTTGCAGTTTAAGATCAGATTTGCAGTCTTCTAGGAAACGGTGCAGAGCTAATGCAAAGCATCATTTCCTGAGGCGAGTGCTGTGTAATGTAAAAAGGGGTGATGCCCGTTAAAAGAATGGAAATTAATGGCTATAACCCTCTGTTTTTCTGAGAGGGAGGTTTGCTTTCCAGACAGGTCTTAAGAATCCTGTTTATTTCCAGTTTTAATTATTATTTTTTTAAAGTAAATCCATGCTTTTTACTTCCTCTGTCTGTATTGTGTGAGATCACCTGCCATATCATGTAATTCTATTTCTGTCATTCTTTTTTGTCAGAACAATATCACTTCATTTCTCCTATTGTTGATTTTAATTTAACGCATCAGCAGAGAGATAGCGAAGGTGAGTTTTACAGCATGTGGATTTTAATCATTCATGAACCTGTATTATTATCCACCTGGGCAAAATGTGGTGTGTTCTTTCTCCCTCTTTTCTCAATATGGAAACCAGTCCTAGCAAATAAAATAGCCCTAAGGCTCGGCACTATTTTTGTCAATTCATAGCTTGTAGTCACAGGGCTGGCAGAGTCGTGATGCTCAGTAGAAGAGGAATCACTGTTCGCGAAAAATAGGTCAAAGGCAATATGACTCACACATCTCACAGACAAGTGACATGAATACACAAATACTTAAATCGTTTACCATGTACGGTCCAAATTAAGGCAGTTTGGTCAGCAAATCCCTTTGCGATTGATGCTTTGTGTCAGGATCAGGGCTGGGTTCACAAGAACTTATTTCAGAAGCTGTTTGCTCAGAATTTTCAGGAAGAAATAACAGTAAGTTATTTGCCTAGGGGGAAAAAAAAAAATCACAAATTATAGTATTCTTCTTAAGAAATTCTCAAGTTTGAAGTTCGCATCCCACAATTAGGGAAAAGGGTACTTAGAATATAAACTGGTAGAAAGATGAAGGAATCTAAAAATTACTAAATATCCTAGATTTTAGGGTAAAAAAAAAAAAAAAAAAGGATGCTTTGGCCCAGCTAGGCAAATATCCTAATAGCTTTTGGATACAGATACAGAACTTGGGCTGGTGCTAGTCCCTTGGTGTGGATCTGAGGAAAGGCAGATCTGATATCTGTGCCTCACAGGCAGAGACATTTTGCAGCCCATGCAAAAATGCAAAATCTGCACTGACCCTTTTCCTTTGAGGCAGGGTGCTTTCTCCTTCTTTTCCAACAGCTTACTGAATTATTTGGATCTGGTAGATTCATAAGTCATTGCTAGGATGGTTCATAATTGTTTCATTTGCTTACTTTTGCCATTTTGACTGGATTTTCTTTTAATTCATACTGCTAGTGACCCCTACTCCCAATGCCCTCTCTAGCTCCTATTTGCCCGTCTCCAGCTGCAGAGGCAAATACGATGCTGTAGCATTTCCCTCACACAGTTGGGAGTACGCTCTGGCACTCCAGCCAATTCAAACCTGTGCTTTAGTTAAAGCTTACCGATTTAATGGATTTTAATGTATGCTCATTCCTGCTAACATCTGGTTTGTGGTTTTCTTTTAATAATTTGACAATTTGCACAGATAGAGCCAGTCCTAATTCTGTCTCTTAAATTACTGCTGAAATCTGATACACTGAGTTGTCACATGGGACTGTTGGCTATTTCAGCTCAAACTTGGATGGAAGTCTAGAGATTTGTACCAGGCTAGGAACAGAGTTTATAGAGGATGCGCCATACAGTATGTCTCTAGTTATTAGCCTTTGCTCACTGAATCAGGCAATAAAAAAAAAAAATTAATATTAACAAAGTACAATTGTATTATCTTTAAAATAAACATGATTATGAAGTCTATTTATTTAGTTTCACATCCCAGTCAAAAAAAAATTAGAGAAAAAAACCACATTGTATGTATGGTGAACAAAACTAAAACAGTGTAGTAAACCAGCAGGGTATTTCAGGATTCACATTTTAAGGGGTGAGCTGTAACTCATCGCTGAGCAAAATCAGCAATTTTCAGTTTGCTTTTGAATATGTAAAAACTTGAATTAGAGATGGCAAAGTGAGATGATAAAGAATTGCAATGGGTTATTCAGCGAGTTTTTTTTAAGGGAACATAAGAAAAGCAGAGTGTGAGTAATTTCTACAGCTTTTGGATGTGAGTAGATATCAAACACGTGACTTGAGCAGCGAGCAGCTGAACTTAACTACAAGATGTTCTAAATGTTCTTTAAATTAAAGGTCCTGACACCGGCATTCACAGACGTAACGTGTTGAGAGATGAACACATTACAGCTGCATATTGTTTTTTATATTCAACAGATTTCAGTGTATTATTGTTTTACTTAAAGAATATCATATACGGAAATACAGACTTGTACCATATGACTTATTGTCATACGATTAAAGTCCACACTATGAAGCATTCCACATATTATATTAGATCTTGGCTTTAAATCCTGTGGTCAGCTCTTGTCAGTGCTAAGCTGGACTGAGTAGGTGAGAAGGAGTAGATGCAGGCCAAGGGGCAACTTGGCTAGACGTGGCTTTAGTTTTGGCAAAAACAGAGGTTAAATTAGATGAGACACAAGAACACAGGTAGATGTTTGGTCAGTTCATGGGCTACTCTCAGGATAATGGTTAGTGTCTTCTATAGGATCTACGCAGAACTGCAGTCAGGATGATGGCCCTAAGATTTAATTAAAAATGGGTTTGGTTATAACTTCTCATCAGCCTGAGCTGTTCTGCTATTACAGTAATTGGGCCTCGTAAATGAATTAGTTTGAATGACCTGCTGACCACTTCTGGACAGTAGGTAGCTATTTAATGCATCTGTAGTAGGGTTGGGACTAAAACCTTTCATGGGGTCATACCAAAGTTGCACCAGTTTGGAAGCTTTAGTGGAGCGACGCTGTCAGGAAGCCTGGTGCCAAGGAAATGGAACAGGCCGAGCGTTTGGGAAATATTCCCAAATTCACCTGGCATGCACGTTGTCTCCCTTTCATTTGCTAGCTGAGCAAAACACTCTCCCTGAATTCTCTGCGGCTCTGTGTGTTGGGTTTTACACTGGAGATGCTCCAGCCACTATGTGTCCTACCTGGAGTGTTTAGTCTTGAATGTGAACTTTTCTTTCATTTCTGAGGCTGGGTTGGGCCTTGTAAAATTGCCCGGTTGTAAATGTGAAAAGGAGCAAATGTCTGTGACCGGAGAGGTTCTCAGCAGGATGAGCTGCCTCCTGGAAGAGGAATACTTCTAGGTCCACAGAAGATCAGAGTTCAAATGTTGGGAACTTCTTTCCTGCACCTATCGTACACAGACGGGATGATTTTTATTTTTTTTTTTAATAACATAATTTTCCTTTCACAATGAGGAGAGTGCTACTTAATATGACTATAAAATAATTTCTTCCTTTTAATAATGGAGCATGAGAAATAGTGAAACTATTCTTAGTCAACGTGCTTCACAGTGATGGTATGTCTCTTGAAGTTCAAAGATGATGAAATAAAAGGAAGCAAGCCAGTTTTTTCTCACTGACAAGATTCTTTTTCAGATATTAAACAAACTCAACAACAACAAAACAAAACCCAACCAAAGCTTAATTTTTTTAAAAATTCTTACAGAATAGGGAAAATTTATTGCCAGAAAGAGACAACACTTCTGTTTGCAGAACAACATTTATTCCAGCTGTTCTCATTACTGGCGCAGTGCTCTACCATTGCACCTTTCTGAATCTCTCTGTGGGAGGATTTGAATCTTATACACAATTTAAAAGTTTTGAGTGTTGCTCTGGTATCAAAGTGTTGAATTTGACCTACAGAGTATGAAGTACTTAGAGGAAGGTGCTAGGTTAGAATTAATAATCAACAACATTGTCTCATTGTGAGAATTCTTAATGTAATTATAATTGATGGTGCTGTTAGAACAGATGAACTTAGAGATACAAAAGTTGCGTCTATCTTTTCCATGACAGACGAAACTGTGGTTGTACAATATACAACCGGATTTTTTATTGTCTGTAAAGCATAAACAGTTGGATAGTGCTTGATAAAATGATTAAAAATATTAGTTTTGAAATCAATAGTTGCTTTCTTTGGAGCGTGCCATTCAGAGCTGGTTTGTCCCCGCTGCCCCAGTGCAGTAAAAGGGATTTGTAGCTTCAGTATCTGTTGGGCAGAGGTCAAATAAAATGTACTGTAAAGGTTCCATTAAAATCCTGAAAGAAATACCTGCTTACCATGGGAGTGTTGTGTCCCATGTAGAAAGGAGAAAATGCCAAGAAAGTGAAGGTGAAAGAACTTTTCTAAACCTGCCTGCTCCTCTGTGGGTAAATCCATGTATAGCTGGTTTTTGTTTTTCTTTTTTCTGTGCAGTTTTGGACTTCCATTGAATAAAAAGATTCTGTGCAATGTATTAGAATGCATGTTATATTGCAAGTGTAATACTGATTAGAAATGACACGCACGCTGCCTGGAAATACAAAATAACAGAGATGAATTCAAAGGCTGTATATATACATGGGTTTAGAGGAAATAAATAAGGTATCATCTGGTGTGGAAACTGATGTAGGGGAACCTGTGACGGAAGAGCACGTTCTTTCCTATAACATGTATTAACTGGTTTTGAGGGAAGAGCTTTTACAAGAGCGTGGAGTTTCTCCTTAAAGGTATAACCTGCTTTAAAGCACAATCATCTCACAGCAGAAATACCGACTAGGCTAGATCACCCTCACCCATTTTACACACTGAGGGTGAGGAGGAGGACTCAGTGGCTCTTCCCGTTAATGTACCTGGGTACAGCAGAGGGATGATGAACTCTGGGTATTCCCGAGAAGGAGGCTCAGTAATGTGCCTGTTATTTTCCGTGTTACCCATAAACAGAGTCAGGGTGATGAGGTTCACCAATTCCTACTTTTTCAGTCCAGTATAAATCGTTCTGACTTCGAGCTTGACCATCTCCATAAAACACATTTTACCTTTTGAGGCACCTGAGGTGAGGTTTCCATTTCTAGTCCAAGAGAATATTAACCCAGTAAGATAAGCATGAACTCCTCCAGGTGGGCGTCACTGCACACCACCTCGGATAACTACCTTGAATGTTACTGGTTGTTATTTTCATATCTCGTGTTCTTTAGACCCATGGGTATGTGACTTCAAATCTTAACGAAATTCTGCAGGATACTGCAAGCAACACTGGAGGTTCTTAGCATCAGGACATATTATAGTTTTGATCTGCCTTTCTCTTGACCCAAGGACTAAATCCTAAATCACGAAGTTAAACTTGTTTTGTACGTCCATCATCGTCTTCAGGAATGTGGCTTTCAAAAGCAAATAGATCTATGAAAATATAATTAATGTTACTATTCTGGGAAACTCTCCATCTTTACATTATAGTTCATAGTTTACAAACACACCCATCCACCTTCTCCTGTGGAACTCAGAAATGCTTTATGTTAAGCCGTTAACTGTCCTTTCTATTGCCTCATCCTCAGTATTCTGTTCATCCTGCATGTGATACTTTACTGAACTATTTGCTGTTTACTTTGCATACTTACGCCTTGAATACTCCCCTAAGTATAGACCTGTATTTATCTAGGTAGCTAATTATCTTGCCAGTGACCCTCAGGCCACATTGGTTTATTCTTTCTTTCTAGAGCCTGTGCCAGCCCAGAGAGACGGGCAGAATGACACGGACAACAGCCCACAAGAACATCACTCCCTAGGGACCAGTCGACTGCTGTATCACATTACAGATGGAGACAATCCTCTTTTGTCACCACGCTGCTCTATCTTCAGCCAAAGCCAGAGATTTAATTTAGACACAGAGTCTGCCCCTTCTCCACCAAGTGCTCAACCCTTCATGATGTAAGAAGATATATTTTAATTCTTACATATTTTAAATAATTTTTGTACGATCCACAATCTTTGACTTTTCGTGGTTACTGTTATGTCATAAACAAGAAGTTTTCAGATTGTAGCATATTTTTGACATGGTTAATTTACAATACCAGAAATAGTATCTAGCATTTTTTTCAGTCATAACACAGTACAATATTATTTGAAGTCTTTGTTAATTATAGTTAGCAAGGACAGTTTTAAATGTTAGTAATTAGGCTGATGAATAAACATAAGATAGAGAGGGCTATCAAGGTATAATAATAAAAATTTCAGCTGTAATACAACTATAGTTTGAGTCATTCACTAGATGTGTCCCAGAACATATGAACAGCCCATATACGTTATCTCTAGAAACTAAATGTGAGTTTTAGAGAGAAACCAAACTTTCTTAAAAGATTCTATACAAAGCTGTCAGCTTTATATGAATATATATTATATGAATAATAATCACATCTATTGATTTGCAATTGCAAAAGATCAGAAACTGCCTTCAAAATGACAATGTTTATTCCCAGTAATAAAAAAAGCTCCCTGAGCTTACTTTTAGAAATCATGTCATTACAGTCTCCCATTACAGTTGGGAGATTAGTGAAGTAAGATGTGGATGTTAAATGTAAATACAGGATCAGGTTGTAACCTACTAGATTAAACTTTTGGAAAATATTTAGAAATCCCACAATTAAAAAAAAAAAAAAAAAAGAGAGAGTGAAAGACAGATGGTGAAGCCATTAGCAAACTCTAGGGGTAGCTTTAAGCAAAAGCAACTATTTTATGCTTCCTTTGTAAAACTAAACTGTCTGTACCCTGTGAAAGAACCTAGCTGCAAATTCTGAAGTGGTAGGAAAGCATTTCGTGTGTCTAAAACAAGGCACATTATAGCCAGTTCTTTGATCCAGCTACTATGCTTTCGGGTTTTGCAGGCCAAGAAGTTCTTCTAGATGTAACTGTGAAGAGTGCAAAGAACCACAAACAGTAGCACAACTTACCAAGCATCTTCAGAGTCTTAAGAGAAAAATTAGGAAGTATGAAGAAAAGTTTGAGCAAGAAAAAAAATATCTGGTAAGATAATAATTGAAAAGATAAAGGGAAATACTACGAGATGCAGGCAAGAATCCCAGTGTGTTTAAACTTATGCAAAACAATAGGAGAAAGGGTATTTTTGGTAAAATGAAATAGAAAAAAATCATCAATGAGGGAATATCTTTTTGTCACCTTTCAGTTTATGCAGTAGTTCTGAGACTCTCATTTACATTTTCTTTGGATTACCTTTGTTGCAAAATATCCGTATTTGTGTGTGAGAAGTGTGAATCAGTGAAACGTAGCTAACAGGCCTGTGAACCAGAACGATTCAAAGGATGAAAAGCTACTTATTTATTTGGTAGAAGTCATTTGCTTGGAAACCATTGCTCTGCTGTGCAGATTCCTTCACTGAGGCAGACTTCTGCAAACCTCCAGAGCACGGGGCTCAGCAGAAGCTGCTGGCAGAAATCAGAGGACTGGACATTGTGATGCGTTGCTGGCGCGGCGTTGACTGAGGTCAATGGTGTGCTCTGTGCCCTCCATGCAAGATCATTGCTCCCACCAAGCTAGTTTGTGTCGTGTGAATTGTGCAGTTCAAACATGTCAAAACATCCCTGATGCTAAGGATGCGTACAATACGAAACTGGGAAATTTGTGATGGCTTGTGACTACGTTAAAATGGAAATTAAGCAAATTGTGCGTTCCCTTTTAATCTCATCAACGACTGCAGACCTACATACATTTGTGAACTGCACTGCCCTGGGGTCATTATATACTCTTAGGAGTAAAATATCATACCTAAACAGTCATCACACTGGCATGAGAAATTATTTCAAAGGTTTAGTTTTGCAGAAGTGTTCTGCCATTTTAATCTGAGTTTTGAAGATCCAGAGTAAATTGATTTTAAATTGGAGGCATCTTCTAAATGCAAAGAACCAATATACAAAGCTTTTGTTGTTGGTTGCTTTTGAAATCATTCTGTTGCACAGGGTTTTTTTTTCATTTGATTAATTAAGCAGGTCAGTTGAAATTTTTAAAGTGCTGTTTCCCAAGAAAGTCCCTGTCTGAGAGCAGTAGGGGCTTATCTCTGCAAGGGACAGAGGACTTCGGTTACCATCCTGGAAATCACTTAGGAACTTGACCAGCATTAGGTATTTGATCTGTCCTGTTGAAGTCACTGAGATTACTTACCCAATTAGTCAGGGACCTGAATGTTTTTTTTAGGATCTGAGTCAAATTACTCAGATCCATGTAGCACTGTGCCACAACGGGGAGAGGTAAGTCATGATAAATTAGTACCGTGATCAAGCCACATGCTCTGCATGACACTGTGATATAGTGCAGCTGGAACTACGGACGGTTTTAGCGCACTGTGTGTGGAGAGGTTTTGATACGTTTGATTGTATAACCATCAATTCCTTTGGGTTTATTCTTCCTTTTTTCTTTACATCCAGCCTTCTCATGGTGACAAGACTTCCAATCCCGAAGTTCTGAAATGGATGAATGATTTGGCCAAAGGTCGTAAGCAGCTCAAAGGTACCTAATAGCATGTCATTTCACGTTATCGCTGAAGCTTGGGGAAGTATGAGTGTACCTGGAATATTTTAGAGTTAGTTTTTAACCTCAGTGCTCTGCTTATTTTTCACAGTGCATGGCAGTAAATCTCCCAATGACAACAAAGATATGGGGTGATATGACTTACCCTGATTCCTGACATCAGGGATTAAAGTAAACCAGTTCAATCCTCATAACAAGACCAAAAAAGGGGAAGGGGAAAAAGACATCATCTCTCCCTCATCACTAAAGCCATTCATGCAAAAGGCAATGTCATTCTGAATATTTTTTATGAGCGTATGAATTGCAGAACTGCAGAGTTAAAAGTGTCCTTGTAATAGTACAGATATGGGTGCAAAATATTTCTTTAGGACTGAGGTTACACAACTCTAATGCTTTTATTTTTTTGATCTTTCCTTGAGACTAGATTTGGTCCTGAGGGTCGAGTTTTGCCCTTGACTGTCTACATACCACTCCATTAACATCTGTGGATATATCACATGTTTGCCCTCAGGAAGAATGTAGCCAAGACTGATTGATTTTTTTTTTTTAAGGCTATTTATAATTTATCTAAATCTTCTTTTCCCCCTTTATAAATGTATTCTCAACACTAATTAAAGTGTAGTATTATCTTTCTGTTTTGGATATAGTTAAGCTGGTAGATACAGAGGATGTGCTGGTGGTAAATAAAGAATTAGCAACTCATCTTTCAGTAAATTTCTGGAAAGTTCTTACTTAAACACTATACTGCATGATTACTAGATTATTTTTTTTCCCCTTAGACTTTGTGTTGCAAATCCAGGGAGGGCAAATGAGAGGAAATGGCCAAACTACATAGTTAATTTTCTGAAAATTATCTCTTTCAACCATTGGACTCAACCATTTCTTCAGCTAGCCAGGGCATCTAGCTTTCATAGATCAGCCTCACCTTCACATCCAAAATGCCTCGATCCTGTGAACGCTCTTAATTTTATTATCCTGAATAACGACACTGCTTTTAAGTGAAGCAAGATTCATGAGGCACATGAGACAGGTGCAATAGAAATGGAAATGCTCTCAAATGCTTGTAGGTCCTTCAAGTTTGTAAGGCTTGCCCATCCTTCCTAGCTCTATGAGTTTACTAAAAATTACTGTTTTTCCCTACAAACCTGGCCTGTATCCTCAGACCGTCACAGTTAGAAAAAAAATGTTACTGTTTCTGCACGGATTTCAATAATTTTAACACATTTGGAGCCATCAATCTCCTACCTTGCCCAGGGTCCTTCACCAGCCAGGGGTATGCTCGGAACAAAGCCTGGTTTTATGGGAGCTCGTTCAGACCTTAATTCAATTTCCTTGTGGCTCTGTGCTGGTTCCTAGAGCTCCAGGGTCTTTGGCTTGGTGTCAAGCTAATACACGTACATACCTCATCGCATCCAGGCAGGCTGCGGGGGAAGGTAGGACACACTCTAACCCGTATGTCTTCTGCCGAGAAGTGGCTGATCTCCCGTGAGGAGCCCGGCTGGGATGGCAGTGCAGCCTCTGGAAGGGAGGGTTATGGTTTAAACTGCGCTAGGGAGGGGCAGGGTTGGTTATGCAGACGGGGAGTAGGTGGCTCCAGCAGCCTGGCTTGGCATGGCGGGCTCTGGGGCACGGCTAGGTGAGAGTGGGGCAGGTGGCTGAAGGACACTGCCTCCTGTCCAGGAAGGTAGCTGTGAAGGAGCGCATCCTTAGAGAGCAATCCTCCCAGCAGGCTTGGGCCTGTTCTTACTTGACCAGACATCGAATCAACTGAGAGTGTGCAGGTTTAGAGAGAGACGGGGGAGAGAGCGAGCTCTGCTTCCATATCCTCCCCCGCAACCTCCCACAGGTATTCTCCTCAAGTGCTGTTTGTCATTTTAAGCCCCTTTCCTAAGCCCACTCCCACCGAAATTCTGCACTACCCAGACCCCACTCTTTAACCCAGAGCCTTCTCAGTCCCCACTTTTTGTGTCAAAGATGGCCTTGGAGGAAAAAAAGTACCTATGTACTCTAAGTTCCCCTGGCTTGGATGCATCTCATCCCTTGACCATTGGATTTCCCTTTAACCAGGTGAAAGATGTTACATGTCGAAGTGAAGCAGAGTTACTTTCCTACACAACTGCAGTATGATAATAATTGCATGCAAGAAATAGGGATGATTTTTTTTTATTCTTGTAGTGTCAGAGGAAACTTCTTTGTAAATATTTCTAATCTTTTTAGTTATTAAGTAATTTGCCTTTCAGAGCTGAAACTCCGAATGTCGGAAGAGCAAAACTGTACCTCTAGAGCACCCCAAAGAAATGATCATCGTGAAAGCAGTGGGACCCCTAAAGAGGCTGGGACACAGGAGGCCACAAGCATGGAACCAGCACCCTCAGTAGAGGAAACCATGGACAGTGTGTTGAGACGATTAAAGGAGAAAAGACAACACTTCAACCTTCCTGAGACTATTAAGGTATTTAACTAGTACGGCTGTTTCTTTCAGAACTTTATCATCTGAGGCAGATATTAATTAGCGTGCAGCTGTCTCAGGGTATGCTGGTGCGTGTGCATCCCGCGTCTCCTGGCACCGCAGTGCATTTTCTCTCTAAAAAGATGGGAGCTGTGAGGTGGCGCCCACAGCAAGTGCATGTTCCAGCGTATTGAAGGTGGTGACAGCAAAAGCAATCCTATCTTGAGTCTGCAGAAACTGTGTCACTTAAAACGTCCCTGAAGCTATTTTGAGAATGAAGGTCCCCTCTCACCTGAAAAATGCTGAGAGCCCCTGCCCAGTCGATAGCACTGCACTAAGATCACACAGACAGCACAACCACCCAGACTGCTTTGCCCTTCTGATCTCGTACGTTTACTTGGCCTGAAACTGCCTCTGCACTTCCACGTTCTCCATTACTCTTCTAACTGGAGGAGCAATATTCCATGAAACGTGCTTGCTTGGCTGGGCAGTTTCTTTTTGTTTTTAAACTAGTACATATTTTAAAATTCCGCTGTGCCTCTACACTGCTGGCACATTATAGGGTCTGTCTAGAGCTGTTGTTCTGCAATAGATGTTGCCCATAAAAATATGGGAGGTTTTGGCTATTTTTGCTGTCATGTGATGTTTCTATTCCTGATGCTATAGAGCCAAGCAAGACAATAAATTCTGTCCTCAAAGGTACCTAAAAATCTAAATGTTGACAGTAACATTTAGACTGTGGCTGATGGACAAAAAAGGGGAGGGGGTGAGGGAGACAAGGAGTGAGAAGACCTAAATTCTAAACAATGCAAGAACTAAGAAATGATTCTGGGTGGATTTCAGTGGCAGAAAGTATCCGGTAGAGATTATTTTTAATTTTTTCTTTTGTTTTGCTTCTATTCTTGTTTCTTAAACAGCTGGTTACTGTATGAAAACTAGAACTGTGCATAATGATTCCATGCTTCCGAGATCTTGAGCTCTGCATACATGATTGATTTTTTTTAATTGTTTCTTTTTATAAACTACTTTTTCAAAGCAAGAAATGGAAAAAGTGTTTCATAAACAGAACTCCTCTGTAAGAAAACAAAACCACGCTGTTCTGTATGTAATCCTAAAATCCCAACAGTGCAGACTGTATGATAATATTTTCAGCTGTTAAACGTTTTTTATTACGTAAGGAGTGAGATCAGATGACACCAAGACACAGGTGTCAGTGAGGAAATCCTGCCCAGAAAAACTCTCTTAGGAGAGTAAGTTGGGTATGTGTCTCTGCCCCACTCATTTTTGATTAATTGGACTTCTGATTTTCCAAGAGAGACCCTCCTGAATCTGTGCAATGGCAGTGCTGGCTTGAAATATTCTCAGAGAGAACTCTGTAATGCAAGTTAAATGTTTGCACTTTTCGAAGGGTTTTTTTTTTGTGGTTTTTGTTTTTTTTTTAAATCTTATTTATTTTCTTCTAGTATTCTTGTAGTGAGAACTTCTGTTGAGAGAACGATCTGTTAGCCAAGCTGTTTGATAAGTTACATGAAACTGCTCTGGGAGAGAGGCTTGAAAAGGAATAACATGAAGTTAAATTGATCTATTTCAAAATTATAGGCTCTTAAGTAAAATGTTGAAAATGATTGGGTTTTGATTATGAGTCATCCTGGACATTTTGGGGGAGAATGAGGTTTATAGCACTGATGATGTGAAATGAATCAAGGACGTCTGCTGGTTACAGCGAAGATCAAAGGCTTCATTTCAGCTACATGAAACTTTGGTGTTACTGTAGAGATTTTTTTTATGTGCAATATTTTATTTTGTATATAACATTTAGATCCTGTACCAGAATCTGACCTAGATTAATAGCAAACTAACAGCAGCTAAATGTTTCTTTTTTCAAGATTTAGTTACTTTGGGCAATGATAGTGTTTCCATAAAAGCCTGCTGAGTTCTCCCCTGAAGTTCAACTCTGGAAAGCCTCTAAAGCCCTGTTGAAATCCAAATGAGAGAATGTGTGTCCTTAACAGAGGTGTAGAGTAAAATCCTGAACCACCCAGTATATCTAAAGAGGACAAACCCCAAGATCTGAATATGAAATTGCGGGATGTGCTTTTCAGAACAAAACACCCCTCCTGCAAACAAACCCTAAAGTTATTGAATGAGAAGATGTAGAGAAAATTGGGATTGGCTTGTGGAATAAATCAGTAGCCCAAAAAGGAATGGCAACCTTTACTCTCTGTGTCACTAGCTCCTTGTTCTGAGAGCTTGTGATTTATTCAACAGTTCATCTCATTTTTAATAAAAGGCTTCAGAAAAAAAAAAATAAAGAAAAGAATAAGATCAAGAAAGTAGGAGTTCAGGAGCCAAAAGGCAAGTAGACATAATTTGAATCATATTACTCAAAAACCCCTCCCAAAGCCCCAAAACTCAACTCCAAAGCCCAACTCCTGACTTTTAAGGCAATCTGAACGTTTAATCTGGGGATGTAGGTGCTGCTCAGCCACGCCGAGGAGGAGCAGCAGCCCTGGGACCCTCAGCTGCGGTTCAGCCTTTCCCAGCCGGCTGCAGTCGGACCTGGCCTGACCTCCAGCTGAAGTAAACTGGCATCGTTCTATGCCTGTCTCATCTCACTTGCTGCCTTTCTTTAATTATTATTTTTTTTCTTACGATTTTTGGGTTAAATGCTGCTTTGTATTAAGCCACCACACGTGCCCCCGTGGCAGCCTCAGGCTGGGAACCCACCGTTGGTGCCCGCATGGGCACGGAGTGCTGCCTCTGAGGGTGAGAGGCCTCCGCCAGGCTCAGTCCTCCCTGTCGTACTGTCTGTCCGCAGAGTTTGTGGATTTGGCCTGGAAAAACAACAGCGAGCTTAAAAGAGACAAGCATTCAGGGAACTGGCTAGTGAGGAAGAGATCTGTATTACAGTATTTTCTGTGCCTTTATCCCAAGTTATGAAAACAAAACTACTACCTTATCTTTACGTGTAGGCTCCTTTTTCTTCTTTTTTCTCTTTTCTCTTTTCTTTTCTTTCCTTTTCTTTTCTTTTCTTTTCTTTTCTTTTCTTTTCTTTTCTTTTCTTTTCTTTTCTTTTCTTTTCTTTTCTTTTCTTTTCTTTTCTTTCTTTCTTTCTTTCTTTCTTTCTTTCTTTCTTTCTTTCTTTCTTTCTTTCTTTCTTTCTTTCTTTCTTTCTTTCTTTCTTTCTCTCAAAACCAACTTTTTCTTTCTTTCTCTCAAAACCAACTTTTTCTTTCTTTCTGTCAAAACCAACTTTTGCCTTACGCTTATGCAAGTGTTTGAACATTTGCAGTCTGTCCCCCAAGGCTTTTCTCAGACTGGGTCCCTTTGTGTATCTGTCCTCTCCTTATTGACCTGCTTCAGTTCAGCTTCTCCTTGGCAATGAAGCAGAGTTTTTATTTAATTAACATTGAATTTCATGCTCCTGTGTGCAGCCTACAGTCCTAAGATGTCTCAGACAATTCTGTAGTTTGTGATTCCACGTGTCTTCTCTGATTTTGAAATTATCACCCACTTCAAACTTAGCTGAATACAAACCTGTCTTGAGACTGCTAATAAAATGAGCTAATGAAATAGGCCCAAACATTAAACCCTCTTGAGATTGTTTCTCATGTGTCAAATCAATATTAATGATCGCTCTCTGTTTCCTCCTAAACCATTCAGCTGCTCCAGGCTTAATAGTTTTTGAAAGAATTAACCTTGTATTAATTGTAGAACTAGCAATAAATAAACAAATTAGCTTCTTTATAACACTGCTAGAACTTAATGTGAACGACAGATAATTTTGGAGTGATTAACTCCGGCAGACCTTTAAGGTGTGATAAGTGGTTCTGCACTGGTTTTGCATTTGGGGCAGCAAAAAAAAGGTTTTGCTCCTGCTGAATTGCAAGGCTCTCTGATGTTAGAACACAATACTTCTTCAGGGCTTGATATATTTTTAAAAAGTAGAGGCTAATTATTAAAAAAACCTCTTATCCGAGCTGTGAATAAAAAAAACCCCTAGTCATTGACTTTCTGCAGAAAGGCGCCCCGGCCCCCTGCCCCCCAACTCCATCGTTCCTCACATTCCTTCGTTGTGTGGGATGAGCTCCCCTCAGCTCATCCCCACCAGCTTGGCCCTGGTTCATACAGATCTGCTGTGATCTGGCGGAGACTGGGGAAACTGGCAGCAGCTTCACATGCTCCTGGCTTTTCCCATCAGATGAAGATATGCAAGTGTCAGGAGCAGATCTTCTTGGGAAGAGGGGGAGAGGAAGAGAGACATACCCGTTAAATCGTGCGCTCTCTGCAGCAGGCACCTATCCATATCCTGGTACATCACCAAGACTGACAAATCACATTGCTGAAACATTCTTATTTCTGGTAGCAGTGAGTCACATGGTGATTTTGGAACAGAAATGAACTGCTTGTGTCAGGCGTGCAGCCCAGAAGAGGAAGGACTGCGACTGAGGAAGAAAGGCCACCTCTGTCCCCATCGTCACCGAAGGGCCTTCACTTCCCGCAGCTTCCCCACAGCGGTTCTACAGATGCATTCTGTCCAGCTGTAATTCCCTGCCCGCTGATCAGATTACTTCTCCATTTCATTTTAGAGAGCACACCTTTTTCTAGTATGCTCAGCATTTACGGGGTGTTCACCATAGTATCACCATGGTTGGCTACTTAGGGATTTCATTGGGAAGCTATCATTCCACTCCATATGGGCTGTGTTTGCATAGCTGAAGCTTTCTGTTCTTCATCCCTTACCAGCCAAGGAAAATCTATTTCATTTTCTTGATGAATAATTAAAAAGTTGAAGAACGTCATCTCTGCATTTTTGCAAGTTTCTGAGTATTTTGTCTAGAATGGCTGTTGTTTTCATTTGTCACAACTAAATCATAATGTATAACGGAGAATGCTGGCTGTAATTTATGAATTGATCTGGCAAATAGAAGTTAATAACATACAGATCTCCCTTAATCTCATCCTAGCATGGATGAGAAAAATATTTGTTACAACGATTATTCATAGATGTTACCTAAACATTGCAAAATGTTCTGAGAAAGTACCGCACTGAGATCTGTGGGACCTCAAGGCCAAGACCTTCAACTCATATGATGCAGTTGTTGTTTGTGAGCCCGCCCTGTCAAAACCCAACCGATGAGATATAGCTCACGTGCGTGCAGTTTGCCAGAGATATTCAAGCAAAACCTCCTGCTCATTTAGACTTTCTGTCAACCGGTATTCCCAGAAAAACTTTTCAGGTGCAGGCTCTGATCGAGCAACACATGAAGATTCTTGCCTTATTGACCAAGACCAATAGCTTGTTCCCTCGGAAACTTTCCAGATAAGGATGCGGTGTTCTGTCAATAGCCTGATACCGCTTCCTACTTTCAGCTCGTTAAATTGCTTTTGTAGAATAGTAATTTTGAAAGAAATCAAAGCAATCAGGTATTAGATCTTTATATAATGACAGTTAGGAAAAATAAGATTCCAGCCTTTCAGTACATTTTTATTCATGCATCTTTCTCCAGAAGAAAGAGCACAAGGTCAGGCCCCAAAGACTCCACTTTGGCCAGACAAAGTAGATAGAGGGTATTTTCCACTGGAAAAGGCCTAACCTAGAGCCTACTCTAATCAGCAGAGGTGTCTCCATAGCTCTCATCAGCTTTGCATTAGCCCTTGAGAGGGTAACGTGTACTTTGATTCATTTAAAACTTCACTCATGTAGATTTGGACTCTGTTCTTGCTAAATTAATGCCAAGTCCCCATTGACCTCAGTGTGGACAGAAGGAGAATTCATTATTAATGTTTATCTGAGGAGAACAGATTATTAAACAGATATGTACCTGTACCCTTGTCATGAAATCCTGACTCATAATCTTATAAATAACTTTTTTAAATAGGATATGACAAAAAAGCAAATGGCTTTGGAAAAAATCAATCTTCAGAAATGTCTACTATATTTTGAGATTATTCATGGACAACCTGTAAGTATACCATGGAAAGATAGGTAAATTAAAAATTATCATCTAACTTCTCTAACAAATATTTTTGGACTCATATATTAAATACATTTAGATGAATTTTTACATGATTAATGTAATTTTAGTTATTTCAAACTAATCTTCAGGTATAAAGCTTAGTGCCTGATACTGACGAATTTGGTTTCTATTTAAAAAAAAACAACACACACACACACAAGTTTCTAATGGCCCCGTTATTTCTCTTCATGATTGGAAGCTGCAGGTTTTGATGATAAAGGTGGAGGATTGTATTTCCACAGCAGACGTGGCTCATGCACACTGCAGCTCTGCTATGACTTAGGAAAGGTTAGAATGTTTCGGAGCTGAGACAGGTTTATAGGGCATCAGCTGAGACATGGACTACAAAGATGACATGACCTGTCACCTGTGTTTTCTTTTATCTCACAGCAGCACTTAAAACTATTAATTAAAATCCTTTCAAGGGACTGCATTGCTGAATGTAGGTACAAAACAACAAAACTGCCACCACTGAGAGGATGATTTGAGAATCTGTCCATAGACAGCTGAGGAATTCCTGTTTGGTGCCCATGTCTGTATCCTTGTGATTGTCTCTTTCTGACTAGTAATTGTGGAGGAAAAGGGGAGTGGTACCAGCATGTGTCCAAAAACATGTCAGCTGTTAAAAATCATTGTGATCTCAATCTGTGCATCTTGGATAAAATAATTTTTGTTCATCTTCTTTAGGCTTGGAATAAGAGCTGAGGGATGGAGAGAATATATAGGAAGGGTATGAAGAAATTAGATTTCCTGAGGAAAAGAACAAAAAAGAAATTGAGTTATTAGTGCTATACAGAGGTAAAAGAGACTTGAGGATTCAAAGATAGAAAAGAGAATAACAGGGTAAGCTTTGTAGCACGGGGTTTCTTTTCAAGGGTGAAACAGCTCCATAACCAGCTGAGCAAGAAGATGCTAACTGCATGAGGAAAGAGAGATCTGTGATAGTAAGCTGCCACCAGGGAACCCTAGGTCTGACAAACAGCTCTGACTTAAGGTCACAGAAAGCTCAGGGACAGTCAAGAATTTAAAGCACGGAAATGGAAGCTAAGGGAGATTTTTTTACATGATCTCTTGTTGTTGAAAAAAAAACAAGCAGTCTGGAGACACTCCACACAGTCTTTGCATACTTAAATAATCATGTCTCTTAGAGAAGCAAATTTTTGTAAAATCTTTGTATCTCTATCAGTGTATTTTCCTGAGGGAAAGGGGTGCAGAGGCTGCATGCACCCTGGGCACCAAGCACAGGCCCTGTGCCTAGTTCAGGGCTGGGGGGGCCTGGGGATGAGAGATCCTCCAGGGAAGCTCAGGCAGTGTGTAAAAACCAGGGGGTGATGGCTTGGAGAAGGCAAACCAGTGACCGTGCAGGCAGAGGCACACTGGAGACATTAGCTAACAAACCAGGTGCCTCTCTGCTGTCAAAGAGGTGTTCCAGCGCAGAAAATGGATTTTCAGAGTACTTGAGTGTTGATTGCTGAAGCCTCAAGACTCCCGACTTTTGATGTTTGAACTGAGCAACCCATGACATGTCCTGTCATTTAACAAATATCACACCGTAGCATTACTGAAAGGTTAATTTGAATGCAGTGTAATGGTATCCCAAGAAAATAATCAGAAATTTAGTCTATTTAAAAAAAATTAAAGTTGGCTGTTTGTTTTGTGTTGTGGGTTTTTTTGTTTTGTTTTGTTTTTGTTTTTTTTTTAAAGCAAATAGCAAAATTCAGTCCTAGACAGTGTCACAGTTATTGTAGAAATCTCCTTTGGGAGTACAAAGAGAGAACCCATCAGAAAAAAATATCAAACTGGTGCATAGTCAGAGTATTATGACTACAGCAGCACGGCAGTGAAGGAGCAGAGGCTGATGGTGGACGGGTTTTCAAATTTCACATTTAATCACTGAGGAACATGTTTTCTGGGTTGTGGGGTGGTTTTTTTTTTTTTGGTTTTGTTTTTTTCTTGTGAGATCTGCTCTCTTTTCCCTGAACACAGTAAGTCAGTCTACTGCACAGCTAGTTCCCATAAGATTTATTTTTGTATTTACAAATATCTGCGGCTGGATCAGCCTCTTCATACCTGATATAATATTCTCCTCCAAATCAATGCTCCTAGTGCTCATAAAGGAGCAGGAGCAAACCAATCGACCAGCCGGTCGCTCCCAGTTGTGGAAGGCAGTTCCAGTGGAGGAGGCAGGCGGGAGGTCTGCACGGAGCCAGCTCACTTACCGAGGCTCCCAGGCTGCCTCCCCAGCGCTCTCCATCCCTCGGGACGTGAGGACATTGTCCCAGGCAGCCCTCCCTTATTGTAGGTGCCTGTTGGCATTATTACAGTTCAGTGAGATATCAGGGCGATGCACAGCAGCAGCGTACCTTCCCTTAACTCTTACAACTCCACTGGCATCTTCAGATGTGGCCCGAGGAGGTGAGGAATCCTCACTGGTTATTTTCCATTAGAAACTAGATTGCCATTTCCTTACTGCATGGATTCAACTACAGTTCCCATGGAATATCCATGGAAGCAAAATACACATCAGGTCATATCCTTCTAATAGCTTTCTCAGCTTTACAGGAGCAACTGAGAACTTTATTGCTTTTAATTTTTAATTTTGGAGGACTATATTTTGTTATGATTTCTCTTTAGGTAACTAAGCAAGAAAAGAGTCTCATGAAACCTCTTTACGACAGATACAGAATTCTCAAGAAACTTCTTGCAACTCCATCTCTGATCACAACAATTGTAAGTTGGAAATAATTCGTATCCATTGTCAAGAAAACCTACTAAATGTTGTGTTTGATTTGGACCGGTAGGTCAGTTTGACAGCAACAGAGCCGCTGCTATTTGAAGAATCGGCTCAGTGGTTAATACAGGATGCTGATATTTCAAATGGAGCAAAAGCTCCGTAAAATCCTGTGTCCCTGAGGTTGCAATGTATGGCAGCAGTTTCTGAGGCAACCGCCTCAAATGACTGGGCAAGAGATCAAAGGCTGGCATTAGTTCTCTACGATGGCCAACACACCTAACACAGAAGGAAACTTCTCTCTCTCCATGAAGCACTATGTGGTCACTGTATCTGTCTTCTGTATTTTACTGGCAGTGCTTTTATCAGTCATGTAGCACAAAAACATCGTTTCTAGTACTTTAATAATATATTGATGTCATAGTCTCACTTACTGTATATCAATTACTGGCCTCACTGTGAGTAGCGGCAGTGGAATCTGGCTATTTGGAATTAACCTGTCTATCAAAAATACTAATTAATAGTAATTGGGGCTGGGTTGATTTTAAAAACTATGTAATATTGCCTTGTTAGATGACAGTGGAGCTTTAGATTTCTTTGAAAAATCCTAGCATAAATCTTTGTACACATGGCCATGGATATTTTATTGAAAAATTTAATTGAAATTCCCTTGTTACTTCTTAGGGGTTTTTACGGTTAAGCCTTAGCTTCAAAAGTTCAGCTTTTCCTGAGGGTGAAGGAACGTGAGGAACAGAGCGACATCACTCTATGTTGGTAGTTAACATTTGTAGCTATAAAACTGTGGAACTGCTGCCTCCAATTCTTGTACAGTCAGAATTTCGGGACATAATACAAATAGGTGGTATATGAGGAGTACAGGTTCCAGGAAGACTGCGCTGCTTACACAGATGCAGAACGTTCTTTACAACTTTGCTGCTTATAAAGGCTTTTGAGTCCACAGAAGGAAATTGCTGGCTGGAGATACTCGGAGGCAGGGCCAACTTCTGTCCTGTTCAGTCACGCTGGGCAATACAGAGGAACTCGGTGAGCCCCACGAGAGCTCTCATGAACAATCTCACACAGAGCTGGGTAATGCTTCCAACATGTGTAATCTGTTTCAGTGAAAAGCTCCAGGAAGTCAGATCCTAATTCGTTACGTTTGTCGTCCCATTAATTGTTAGTATTGTAATGTAAACAACTAAATTTAATAATGCTTTGCATTTCACAAGCAGGAGGAGGAAGACTCAGATGAAGACCATTCTCAGAGCAGCCATGAGTTATCATCCGGCCCAATTTCTTGCCTCCCCGTCGATGAGCACCTGTGTTACTCTCAGGCAGAGAGCGAGCCTGCACATGTTTCACCTCTGGATGAAAAGAAAGTTTTCAGGCAAACAGCCTTGTCAATGTCCAATTTACATGAGGCAACAATGTAAGTTCTGTTTTTTTTTGTTTTTTTTTTTTTTTTTTTTTTTTCTTGAATGTTTTAAAATATTTCATGTAGACTTTGTGAAAGAAACATGACCCATACTTACTGCATGGGAATCTTCTATACCAAAGGAGTGATTCAGTGTTTTCTTTTGGGAGAAAAGAGGCAGAGGCTAATTGTTGCTTGGGCAGCATACCTGTGGTTTGAGCTATTGATTCAAACAACTTTGTGCCAAGGCCACGAAGAGAAAGGTGAGGGAATGTAAGCAGACAGGAGAAATAACTCCATATACAGAGTGGTAGATATGACGTAGTGGCATAGCAAAGGTACACGGACCTACCTATAATTTCTGCAGAATTTTTAGATACCTAACTACACGTTCTTACAAAGCAGCTATAAAACAAAGCACAGCTCGGCCAAGCAGGGTAGTCTGCTCCTCTGGGGGTGTGTGCTGGGAGTGACTGTGAGTGATGTAAAACTGCCAGAGACGAGACACACGAACAGCACCGGGTGACTGAGGGAAGGAGCACACAACGCCTGGGAGCCCCTACACTCAACTTCTTGCAGAGGAATACTCATTAGTGCCTGGGCGCCCAGAGAACTTGCCACCCCCCTCCTACACTCTGTTACAAAACCAAACTAAAGCCACTGGCCTCATTTGTAGTTAAGAAGTTCAGGCTGCATGAGACAACAATCTCATGCACATGGGCTGTCAGCACTCAGCCCTGACACCTTGTGAAGAGAATGCCTGCCAGGAACGGCGTGTCCTCATCGCTTATGGGATGGTACCTCCTTCCTGTGGTTTGACCGACTGGGAGCATTAAAGATGCATAACTGGAATGGACTAGATCTACCAAAACTGAGACTCAAAAAAAAAAATGTCTTGGCTTTCTATGTAACTCAATAATGTATGCAATAACTTGGTCACAAATGCTGTGAAGATATTTCTGGGCATTTTTTTTTGTTATTATGGAAAAAAAAAATGACTGGCTGCATATGTCATAATGGAATTCTTTCTCTGCTTAAAAATTTTGGTATTATTCACCAAATACCAGCTAAAACATGGCCTCCAAAAATGCTGAGTCTGGGTACCACTAGCATTTCCACTGCATCACAGTAATGTTTGGTAACAGCTGCCTTTAGGAGCAGGGCTTGGATGTGGACTATATTTATTCAGCCAAGGAGATGCAAAGCATTTCCTGGGCCGTGCGGAGCCCTGCCAACTCCATTAATTCCACGCAGAATTAAGACCGTTAAAAAGACTCAATCCTGAAAGCTTTTCCTCCCATGTGGCCCACAGAGCCTCTGCCTTCACTTTATTAGAAGGGTGAGAATGCTAGTAAAAGGGAAGGAGCACAAGTGTTCACTGCGTGTGATGGTGCAGGCAGTTACACCCATCGCTGGCAGGCTGTGGTGGAACGGCTCAGGGCCCGTGGCACCTTGTCACCCGAAGCCACGGGTTTTACAATGCTGCCAAGCACATGATGGGGGTTTCATGTCCTTGTCTGTGTGTTACAGGCCCGTTCTGCTTGAACATCTCAGAGAAACAAGAGCAGATAAGAAAAGGCTTCGCAAAGCGCTGAGGGAGTTTGAGGAACAATTCTATAAACAGACGGGAAGGTAAATAACCAGCTCAGCGTAAACCCTCTGCTCGTCCCCCTTGGGCGCCTGCTCAGGCGTGCTTGCTTCTGCTCGGGAGGGCACTCCCAGGAGAGCAGGCCAGAGAAGCTGCAGCTGGGGACTGGTAGCTGCCATGGAGGTGTGTGGTGCCCGTGGAAATGTCCCTCTCCCTGCTTGGTTCCTTGGGGATGGGGCTGGAGCTGGGGCTCTTCCAGGACGTGCCTGCAATGGGATAAACCCCACCTCAGCACAGGGACGATCCTGAGCTTGAAGGGAGGCTCCTAAAGAGTCTTTCTGAGGATGTTGATCCGCAGGGATTACAGTTGGGCCGTTTTTAAAGGACAGATTTAAAACCACTTCTTTCACCCGTAGATAAATACTGCCAATTTTTTCACGCTTTGTTTATCCCCCTCCCTCCATCTCGCAGACTTGTTTTTCTGAAAACCATGGGGGATATGGGCATGCAGTAAGCTGGTAACAGTTTTCAAAGCACTATGTAATAACTTCTCTGCATATTTGAGAATGAAGTAGTTATTCCTGTGTAGCTGACAAGAAAGAAAATTGCTTGGTATATAAAAATGCAGTAGTTTAAATACTCTTATCTCACTTCTGTCTATTAGAGCTTTTTGGGCCTGTCAAATTATCTTTAAGTCACCTACAGTTAGGAAAAAAAATAAATTAATCCAAACCAATCCTCACTGGTTGTTGCAGAATTATTTTTAAAGACTGCTTCTCCTCTTGCTTAGAAAAGTGATGACACTTGTATTTGCTTTTCATAGGAGTCCTCAAAAAGAAGATCGGGTGCCAATGGCCGAGGAATACTCCGAATACAAGCACACTAAAGCCAAAATCAGGCTCTTGGAGGTTCTCATCAGTAAGCATGACATTTCCAAAACAATCTGAAGTGAATGGAATGCCATGATATTGTGTGCTAGGAAAAAAAAAAAAAACAACAAAAAAAAAACCCAAACAAGCAAACAAACAAGTAATGAAAAAGAGGAAGTAGTTTTACAGATCTTGGTCTGCCGCACAATTATTTGACACACTGAGATTTCTGATGCACTTTACCAATTATACTAGCTGGGATGAGCGAGGACAGCAATATGCAAGCATATTAAGCATGGGTGAGTGGACTATAGTATATATTTTTTTTCCTTTTGAAAAAGCCTTGAAGTAAGTTAAGTGCACTGTGAGAATGTTAGGAAATAAAAAGACACTGAAGTAGATGCTCAGTCTAACCTACTGTTAAGTTTTAAAAAGCGTGAGGAAATGCTCTCCAGGTTTCCAGTACATCTTCGTACATGATGTAACGTACCACACATTTCTTTCCAGAATTAACATGCACTACGATTAACTATTAATGTCAGTTCTCAATGTGCTGATTTACTCGATTAAAAAAAGCCCATGATCTTAAAACAAAGGGAGGAAAAAACTCATGGACATACTCTTATCTTTCAAGACAAGAGTTGCCATTCAATTCCAGTAGCTTCAAAGAAAGGTGCAGGCAAAGAACCAGTGCCAGGATCTGGTCTAAAATTCTGGGAATAGAGCAAAGTGATGCTGCCTATGCAAAAAAAAAAAAAAAAAGGACAGAACATGACTGCCAAATGGAACTACTTGGTTTTTTTTTGGGAGTAAGAGAAAATGTTTGGCAAAGTGAAATAGATACAGTTTGCTGGGAAAAAGATAAAATAAATACACTGGCTGCTGTCCTTTTCTCTATGGTTCACAGGACCTGGCTCACGGTACGTAAGAATTCAGTAAATAGATCAACTACATGCTGATTTTAATTTCTGTATTAAACTTTGCACTTTATTTTGCCTGATGCTATAACAGTTGCTTTTCTAACAACCAAAGCTCGTTTAGACGCATGCACTTTGTAAAATGTCAGAGTATTTCTTGTGTTATAAATTTCCACATATATATATTAAACCAATACTCGATTATTGCATTATGCTGAGATATTTTGGATAGATGAAGTACATGGTATATAATTGAGTGTCACAGTTATCTGATGAGGAACGCAAGACTAATTGTTTACTAAAAATAAGATTATAAAAAAGTTATTTTTCCATTGGAATTATGCATCTTTCTTAACTTTCAGAGCACCACACTTTGTAATATTAAGGAGAATTTTTCTCACTATTTATGATGGGCCATTTGTGTGAAAAGTGGACTGTTAACAGAAGGATTATCAGTGGGTTTTGTATTAGAAATTAAATGCAGGGACTCTGGGAAATACCTAGACATAAAGGAAGGATTAAAAAAACAAAGGGACTTGAATAAGTTGAATCACGTTTAGTGTTTTACTTTAACTGTCATTTTGTATTGACCATGTAGTATAAGGAACCTGTTTTCTATCTTGGTAAGAAGATTTTCATTTTCTAAAGCCTATTATGTACCTGCCATGTTCGTATTTATATCGTATGTAATGGCTTGGCATGATTTTGAAGACGTACACATTTTCAAGTAGTTTGGAGGAAAAAGTATGAACACTTAAAAAGGAATTTTTTTTATTTCTCAGAGGTTTGTTGTTTCAGTGTACTGACTTAATAATAATTTATAACTTAACTTTTATGAATCAGAAATGGTCTCCTTCGTAAATCTGTTTTAATTAAAGTCATCTAGAGCAACAGGAACAGATACAGAGCTATTTGAAGTTTACAAACTACATCTTTGATAAGGGAAAATGATTTCATGACATATGTATACAATTGATATTAAAATGTAATCTATATATTCTATATGATTGTATAATATTTTATACAACAGTACAAATAAAATATTTTTCTATTATATTTATTATGTCAAGACACAGTTTCTGTTTTCAGTTAGCTAATATAAATAACATAAATAACACTGTCGAACAACACGTTGGAAGTGCTGACATTTCTAGGCTCTGAAATTTAAATCATGCTGCAATTACAACCTTTCATGCTGTTTGGAGTTACCCCAGTATTTGTTCAGTAGTTAAAATGAATGCATATTTAAACACCATTTATAAGCCGTTATTTTTATTTTGCTAAAGCAGTTTATATAGGGATTTTCTTATGTTTGGCAAGAAACAGAAAACAATTTTTGCAGCATCTAGGTATAAATGGTTGCCAGAAAGAAATCCAGGACTTCTAATCATTTAAAGCATCGAGGGGACAGAAGGGAAAGAGGGAGAGAAGAAATACTAAAAACGCTATTGGAGATTTTGAAGACTCGTGTTTGCTTTTGGTGACAGCGGCATGTGCATGCTTCTGACAAAACGTCTGACTATGGAAATGGGCAACAGAGGTCGGAAGGCTCCTAAGTAACGAGGGGAGTTTTAACGTCCAACACTGATGTTGCAGGTCTTGCAGCTGGGATCTTTCTTTGCATTTGCAGTAGACAAGCTCATTAATTGGTGACCAGTAATTTCCGCAACTGTGCCGAGGGAGAGATCCACAGGATCAGTGTAAATTACCTCCAAAATAACATCCTGGGCGTGATGGTAAACCATGACACCGTCTTCTTCATCGCAGGTCAGAAATTTATTATCTTTTATATTTAGTTGAGGAAGGCGCTGCTTACAGAACTCATCTCCCGGCGATCCAACAGGGGCGATAACGAGAATGACGTAGTGGTAGGCTGTGTACATGCAGTAGAAGTCTCCAAAGTACAAGTTAGTGTTTGGGTTGAAGAGTTTTTCAGCTGCAATCTCAAACCTGTATCTTCCATACGGTGAATCTTGGGGTGGCTTCCCAGTGTTAAACTCGGTGTTGCAGCTAAAGAAGATGCCTTCCAGCTTCCCGCTGATCGGAGAGCCATGGCTGCCACTGTTATCCTTAACAGAGGGCTGCATAGCATTCCTGTGATGCTCTCTACAAATGAATGACTGGAATTGTTTATTTTGAAACACGTTAAAGAAAAAGTGGAAAGTTAGGCTGTCATGCTGTTTGGTGAAGTACTGAAGGGACACAAAGGAAAACCGTTAAACTGAAATCTGTGGTCAGCATCACGGGCGTAAGAGCAAGAAAACCATTGAGGCCAGGCTCAGAAAGAGCTACAGTAACTCCTGCTCAAGGGGAAAAATCTGCTTTTCCAGTCTGGCTTCTCTGTCAGCTGCGAGCTGTGGGCTATTATATTCAGGCAAAGAACAGCACAAACAAAAAAGCCCCCAAACCACCAATATCTTTAATTAGCTGTTTTGTTCAGCCTTCCACTACCACTCTAACAATAAACACATTTTAGTTTAATCACATGTTGAAAATTGCAAGTCGGTCTCAAGATGCTGAATATACTGTTTGCTATTTTTAGCATAGGCAGCACACATTTCATGTAGAAAACTGCCAGTGAAAGTTATTTCTGAATGATGTTTTTCAGCCAGCTTAGAGGAAGGAATGGACTGTCTGCCATAGGTTTTTTTTTTTTTTCTCCCCCCCAAATGATAATTTCAGGTCTAATTTGTCTACTGCTGACTTCAATCAGAGCTGAGCTGGGCACAGAGTATTAGGCAATTCAGTTAGTTTCCCCTTTGGTTGGTATACAGCTTCTGCAGTCACTAGTCCTAGGGCGGAAAAAAAATGTACGAGACTAACTTTTTTATTTTCTTGCAAGCTGAGCTCAATTTGGTTCCAGTGAGAAGAAGCATTCAATGTAACAAGTGAATTTTTAAAATCCTAAATCCCAGATTGCCCTCACCAGCATTAGGCTGCGAAATTCAGGAGAACAGCTGACAACACCCCATCTCATCCACCTTAGCACCTCAGATTTTATGTTTGGAAGGATGGTCCCCAGAACTTGTGCCCCACACCTCTCCAGAAGTTTACTCTTTTTTTTCCTTTTTTTTTTTTTTTTTTTTCTTTTTTGAGGGGAGGGGAAACTAGCCAAGACAGCCTGTTCTCTCTCTGCTTTTAACTTGAACAGCTCCAGGTAAAATGGTGCTATGCGGGAGAAAGTTCTACTTGATTAAAGCAGGATGTAGCAGTCAAAGCAAACAAATTCAGTGTATACAGGCAAAACAGCCCTAAATAAACCTACTAATGTCTCCAACTGTGGTTTTTTTTTGTTTTTTTTTTTCATTATTTATAATCTCCTCAGCAGCATATCTTAACTTGACTCTAAGCTAAATTTCAAAACTTTTCCGGGCCATTCAAATACTACAGACATCGTCTCAAGCCCTATGTCACAAGGCATTGATGGGAGGGGTGTACAATTGGTTTTTGTTTTTTTTTTTTGACTGAAGCAATCACTGAGGAGAAATAAAACCAGCTTGAATAACCGCCGTCTCCTCAACCTGAAAAGCCAGGCTTCTTGTAGCCCCATTTCTGTGGCAAGATAGTGACATCCAGTGGCCAATTAGGCTAATTATAGGTCAAGTCTTCGAGGGGATCCGAGCTGCTTCGTGGCGCTCCTGGCCGACACCACTCACAAGCGCCCACTTTTCAACCCCTAGGTGTTGGGGTTGGTGCCTTCGCACCGTGCCAGTTGCTTGTTTGCCAACGCTACTAGAGCTACTCTATATGCTTTTCCAAGCTTGTTTACTAGTTCTGACACCAGCGAGGCCACTGGCAGGCATGGTACGATAAGGAGTTCTTCCTGCACGGAAGCATGTGGTTCGGGTTTCTAGCGTCACGTTCTGAAGGGTGAACAAGTGGAGGGACTAGCCCTTGTGACCGTATCAGCACATTTCTGATCGGAAAAGGTGACCAGCAGACGGTTACAGGTAGTGTAGCTTCATAATGACCTGGTAAGACACAGATTTTTGTCTCTAACTCACTAACAGAAGAGAAAACAAACTTGTCTCCATTTGTATCACACCAAAAGAACAGGAGGGAGGGGAAAGGATACAGTGCAATCTGTTAAGAGCCACATTTGGCAGAACAAGGCCAAAACCACAGCTATAAAATGCACCTCAGTGGCACTCTTCACTATAAACACAAAGGCAGGTGCACTAAGATTACACAGCTCAAAACAAAGCTCAATGAGAATCAGAACCACCACAGGCATCTCCCTTCTGTGGTATCTAGTCCAGGATGGCTGCAGAGATTTACGAGGTCCTCGAAGAGCCTCAACAACTGCGATCTAGTCTCTACCTCCAGTGAGTTTTGCAGCTTTGCCACTATGGGCAATAAAATAATTCTTCCAAAACACAGAGGGGAAAGAGCAAACCCCATGCTCTGGAATATACAAACCACTCCTGAAATCAAGGAGATACTCACAGCTACAAAGTGGGAACGGTCCCAAGGGTGGTGGAGTCTTTTCACTGGAGTTCAACGCCCTTGAGTATTTTTTTTTTTTTTCCACACCAGTTTTAAAAAGCTTTCAGTTCTCAGCAGGTACTAGTGTGACACCCCCATAAATCTGGAATTACGTGGCGCAGCAGCAGCCCTGGGCACCTCTGTGCTGCCACCCTTCTGGCTGTGCTCAAGCAGATGTGGACACACCGCTTACCTCTCACCTGGCCTCTTCTAACAGTGGAAGGTTACCTCTGCATGGTGGCTGCTCCTGCCCAGTCAGCACGTGAGCTTTCACTCCTTCTACTGAAAAGTCTTCTTTTCTATTGTAATGATGCTTCTGGTTCCGTGTGCGAAGGCACATTGGGTGTCCCACAGGAATAAGGAACCTACGTCCAGCTACCCCATTTATTCATTCCAGCTGAAGCACGGTGTTGTAAAATTGTCTAAACATCATCCCCTCTCCCTCCCCACATGATCTGTAAATTTACAATCAGATTGCAGAGCCCTAGTTACTACATTTGGGCACAGAAATCTGGCGGTTGTACTTGGAGAGCAAATACTTACACGTATCTGCCTTGTATGCAGGCAAACACCAATGCACACAGTTGTGCATGCTTACTATTAGACGTCTCACTCTGAACTTCTTAGTACAATAGAAGTATCTGGCTACTAAACACTCCGTTGTGATAACAGACACTGTGTAATCAGGCTGGAGACCCTGTCAGGACTTCAGCTTCTGCTTCAAAACACAAACTTGTATTACCTAATGGAAGTGCTGAGTTAAACAAGGTGGAAGAAATGAGGTGGTTGGTTTTTTTTATCCCTTCTGAACTGACAAAAAAACTATCCAGACATTCTGCTCTAGCTTTAGCACAGCTGCCTCCATTTATTTCTTTTCATTACTCCCTTAATTTGCCAAACAATTTTGCATATGTTTACTTTCTTACCTGCTATAATCAAAGTATTCTTTGTGCTGATTCCGATAAAAAACAGACAGTTTAAGCATACGGCCTGCAATCACTTCAGCTTTTTCCAATAGCTGTGCTAGGTGAACTTTTGAATAATCTGGAAAGAAAAGACAATCTGCTAGTATGGGGGGAGGGGAAAAACCCACAATACTCTCCAGACGTGCAGACTTAAAATTGGGAACAGGGTCTCACAGTAACATACCTCACATCATGCAGCAGCAGGTGTCCAGCAACCACATAGCCCAGCACCACTTTCCAACAGGGGCAAGAGAAAAATGGCCGGAACGTGCATGCCTGATTACCCCCACTCCTCTCCCCACAAATACTCTGCAAGCCCACAGCAACTTTCAGCCCAGGTTTTCCTGGTTTGCTTGTAGTGGGGAGTGGAGAGGAGCTGAGAGCTGCCCTCTCTGGAGTATGTCATTTCATGAACTGGTTGCTACAACATACCCGGTTCAAGTCACGTACCTAACAAAGCTTGCTTAGGGCTCAGCCTAAAGGGCATCTCAACCAACACGGGATTCACAGAGAGCTCGCTTCAGCACTCGGCTTTCACACGGGCAAGCACACTGGCACCAGGTGATGAGCATCCAAAGAAAGACTTACAAGTCAACTGATCCTTGAGCCAGGGTGCTGGTGGTGCTCGGGCTGCGCAGCACGCAGAGAAGGGAGAGCAGCAGAATTTCTTAAGCAAGCTGTCTGTTAGGGAGCTGCCACTCTGGCTTTTCTCCACAGGTGCTAGTAGCCAGCAATGGGCACACACGTGGCCCTGCTCCCCTGCAGCTCACCAGTCTCCTTTCCTAGCCTGGGACAAGCAGTGGTGCCAGGCACAGCCCTCTGGGGCACCTAAATATTGCTGAACAGAGGGGCAGTCCACCTGCCTCTCATTAACGTGCCCAACCTGAGCACATACAAAGCCTAAAGTTAGAATTCCCGTTTCCAGCTGTGACTGGCACTGGTAGGTGCCTAACCCCACCAGCTGCGGGAGTTGCAGGCACCCCGTGGGGTGTGTTTCCGCAGCGGGATTACCTGCCGTGCAAAACTCGATGATTTCACTCCACTCAGAAACAACATAATCGCCATCAACCTGCTTCGATGCTGTCTGCACTGCTACCGTGTACTCCGTTCTGGGGCTCAGGAACCAGTGCCCACGGACTGTCATTGGCAAAGGAACAGCTTTGGCCACCAGTTTGGTGGGTACGTCCTGGTGGAAACAAAAAGACAAAACCCCACACAAGTCAGCAACGCAGCCAAACCAATCCATCAGCCCTTCCTTCATTCTTTTATAATGTAATCCGCAAGCCCTGGCTCTTCTGGGTAAACCTTAGTTACTGCTCGCAATCCCTTGGTGCAGCCAAGTTAACAGGGTGGCCGAGGACAGTGGTGTAAGCTCTGCTCTAAGAGCTACCCTGATAACTTTCATGGATGAGTTTATTATTGGCCACAGGTGACTATAGACTGATACTACTGTAAGTAGCCCAAACACATAATTAATTCAGGCTAGGGCAAAGAGAGAAAGATGCTACTGAGCACAAGGTTGTCTTAATTTAAGAGCTTCTTGTGCTCTTCACTGCCATTGTTTCTGTCAGCAGAGTTCCTGCTGCCATCAATCAGTCCACCTACATTGCTGTTGATATCTTCCACACCAAACTTCAACAGAGAAAATTAAATAATTTCAGAGTATCTGTGTGTATTTTATATGTTTCTAAATAGCCTTAAGTACAGGAAGAGCCAGGACAAGCCGAACAAACAGTTAGATGTTTGTGCCTGTCTTGCTTCCTACCCTTCCACCATTTCAGATAATCCGTTTTGCTCTTCCACCAGCGTAACCCACCAGAGTGAAACAAAGAATAGCAGCTGCTTGCTGTTGAAATACCTAAATTCTACAGTACCAAAGCCTGCAGCACAGACCACCGTGGGCAAGAAAAGCTTGGAGAAGTGGACAGTTTATGCTAGAGCAGTGGGTGAAAGGACTCACAGTGGAGTTGAATGATTCTCTGCACAGTGTACCCCAGGAGCTGTGGGAGAGGTATTTACTCTTGAATATTTATCAGTAATCACAGAAGAGTAAAATGGCTGTCACGGGAGAAGTGGGCAGTTTAGATAACATCCATAGCTGTCCACCTATAAATACCAGTCCACAGTCCCATAAATACTAGCACAGTAGTCCCTTAAGGAAAAAAGAAACAGACATTTTCTGTTCATGATCTGTAAGCAAGACCTGAAAGATTCTTTTTGTTTTGCTTGTCCTCTATTATGGAAAAATATGTTTCTTTTATTGCTTCTCTGTCAGCAAAATATATTCTTCACTTTATTAAGAAACTGTAAAATTAGCAGCTTGGGATAATATAAGAACTGAAATATGATTGACTGATAATCAAGGGTAAGATTTTGTTGTCATGATTCCTTTTTTTTTTTTGCTAATTCTCATTTAAATCAAGTAACAGTTGGGAGAAAACTCTCTGTAAAAGATTCATTTGTGCACTCTGAAATAAACAGAAGTGTTATGGTTTAACCATGCCTGCTCCCTCCTCCCAGGGCCATGGGCAGGATGAAAAAAAAAAAAGTAAAATTCATGGCTTGAGATAAAAATGGCTTAATAACTAAAATAACAACCACAATAATAAAATATATTAATAACAACAATGGTAATGAAAAGCAACATAAAAAAATGATAGAGAAATAAAACCCAAGAAGAGACAAGTGATGCTCAACCAACTGCTCACCACCCGCTGACCCGAGCGGCGACCTGCCCCCCCAGCCAACCCCCCCGGTTCCGTTGCTGAGCATGATGTTCTGTGCAATGGCATAGCCCTTCGGCTACTTGGGGTCAGCTGTCCTGGCCACGCTCCCTCCCAGCTTCTTGTGCACCTGCTCGCTGGCAGAACATGGGAAACTGAAAAGTCCTTAACTTCGGATAAGCGCTGCTTAGCAACAACCAAACCAGCAGTGTGTTATCAACATCATTCTCACGCTAAATCCAAAACAGCACACTGTAACCAGCTACTAGGGAGAAAATTAACTCTATCCCAGCTGAAACCCGGACAAAAAGATAGAGGAAAAATTACAAGGGAAAATAAAAGAAACCTGAAATGACATTTAAAGCTGCCACCCTGGAACTCCACTGCAAAGGCATCCCACTGGACTGAGTCTGCTCCTGCTAATGCAGTCAGCAGCTGCTACCCTTACCATCATTAGTCTCCCTGTCATCTTTTCTTGGGCTGCAGTGAAAACTGCCTCCACCTGGGTCAGGTCTCTGTGCCCACAACCCAGTGGTGGGGTTTTTTCCCATTAATTTTGTCAGTTTTCATGTAACATTAAAAGCCTCATTGTCCCCATGTGTCAAAGCCTTACCTTCCAGCTGTATAGCAGGAAACTTCTCACTGTACCAAAACAGGGGCAGACTACCTAAAACCACATTAAATAGAGGGATTTATCTCTTGCACAGCTGGGGAGGAGGGGCAGATATGATGCTTTTCATGACTGTAATCTAAGCAAACACTTTTTTTTTTTTTTTTTGAGGTTGCTATACTGATCTCAGGAAAAAAAAAAAAAAAGGTTCAAATCTTCATGTTGAAATTTCTCTGGGGATTCTCCATTTCTTCCTTTCATCTCCTTTGTGCTCAGTTCTCATTCCTGGCCGAGCCCCCAAAGGAGTGCAAGGGAGGTTATATGCCAGCTCAAGGACAGCCAGGAAGCTGGAGTGGCAGATGGCTGCTCCACCACCAGCACCCACCAGACAGCTCTGAACGTATCTAGACACCAATGATTTCCAAGAACAACCTGGAAGCACCGAATAACTAAGCAGCAAGGTATACGAGTCACACTACCTCTCTCCTTTTCGGGCAAACATGTCTGCTTTGCAGTCCCTTTCTTTGCCAAAGAAGCAGCTTTCAATTTTCATCTTCCTTCCCTTTGCCAGGTCTGCTCGTAGGGCGCATTGTGGGAACTCAGGTTCTAGCCCTAGTTTTGCTAAATATCTGAGCCTTGCTATTACATGGGAATAATCATACTTCCATAACTTAAAAAAAGAGGGGAGGTATGCAAATTGCATTGAGAACCAGACAAAATCCTATTAGAATTCTAGTCTTTACATACCACCACCAATACAAGCCTCCTACTTCACAGAGATGATGACAATGGTCATAAATAACAAAACTACATCCACCCTAAATATACTTTATATATTTGCCAACAGAAAAAGTGTTGAAAGGATGAATCATTCAGGAATGCTCTCCTGGGTACACAGGGAAGCAAAGAGCCCCCTTTCATGAGGTACAGCATCTACCGAGCAGGTTAAGTCTACATCCCAAAGTCCCTTGCTCACAGCCACGTGAGCAAACTGAGACATACACACTAACTCTCTACAAGTTAGACAAGAGTTTAAGCTGGCCATCTGGGTTTAGCCCCTGTGAGAGAGCCAGGCACCTGCCCACGGTGATTTCCCCTAGCCATAAGCTAAGTAAGGATGATTTTTCTCCCCTGAAGATGCCTGTCTCTTCCGCAGCCTGACTGCTGGATGACTCCTGAATGTAAGTCCCAATGCTCTTTTATATAACCTTTTTTTTTTTTTTTTTTTTTAAGAAGCTTTGCTAGGAGAAGGGGCTGTGATATCCTTCACCTTTATACAACAGCTTTGTTATGAAGGCAGTGGCTGGGTGGAGGCTGTCTGAGGAATCAGCTGGATTCTGGGAGGGTTCAGTCCCTGGTGCCGCAGCTGCCAGGTATCAGCTCCCTCCCCAGAGCTCTGCCTCTGAGCTTCACCTGTGAAACCCATAGAGCTAATGTGACAGGGAGGAAGGATGCTCCTCCCTAACCATACCAGGGTTAGGACCAGTTTTGAATCTGAGCAATGTTGAGTTTCTCAACAAAAGCTCATTCTAGGAAGTGTGTTAAAAATGACTTAGTACTGAAGATGCATGAAAGCAAACACAGATGTGCTCTGGCACAGACAGTTGTTCAGTCTGTGCAGATCTCCTGCCCACCCCGTCAAAAAAAAAAAAAAAAAAAAAAAAGCGCTTTACCAAGTCATTACCACGATTAGTACCAAGAAATTTTAAGTTAATTCTGACAAGACACCCAACTCATCATTTTAATTGATTGACTTTAGTCTCCTCTTCTTACAAAACCAATTACCTTTCTCCTTCGACTAAACACTTCATCACAGTAAAAAAGATAGGGAATTTCTGAGAAAAACAAAATAAATCTAGTGACTTATCTTTATTACACTACCAATATAATTTTTTTTTTCTTTTTCCTCTCCTTTCTGTTTTAACACTAGTCTCATCACTATGATATAGATTTTGAAGTGTATATAGTGCTTGATCTGCTAGGGTGGCTCTACCTTTTGCAAACCCAAATTTTACAACTTTATACCAGTTTGCACATGAATAAAAAAAACATGTAGATCAATAAAATGAAAGAAATGTAAAAGAATCCATCCCAGTAAGCATATATATGAGAAGGTACATTTATTCCTGCAATATAAAATGGGAATTCAAATTCAAAAGCTGTCAATCCAAAAGTAATAACATTAAGAAAAAAAGCAAACATACCATACTTTATTTGCTGTTACAATTAGAAATGGGTCATATAAATGCCTATTATAAGATTAAATTCGGTAGTGCTTTGCACACTGGTTCCTAGCAACCACATCATCTTGGCCAAACATGTAAAATTCTCAATTTCAAGCAGTAGTAAGTGGGTTTTTATTACACTTAATGCATATGTTACTCCGAACCACATTAAAAAAGTCAAATAAGTAAACGTGAAAATTATACACCTGCTATTAACAAAAGTCACAGAAAAAAATACTCTCACGATAAAAAGACTCAGAGAAGCTGGTGGAAATATTTCCTGGTTATCCCACTGGCTTATAAACCAATAGTAATTTAGGTGCTGATAGAATCAGAGCTCTCATATTTGTCTGGATGGTTATTTGTGCCCCGGCAAACTGTATCTTTTAGAGATACTGCCAACATTGTTTTTAAATCTGCAGATGATTGTGGTGTTTAATCTTCCCTCTCATTCCACGTTTCTCTAGACATCTCAGGATTTCAGCTATTTGGAGGTCAAAGCAAATTTTGCTGGATTTGATAAGTACAGATTCTGCATTGCATTCAGTATGTCCCTGCATCAGTGGCTTGAGGAAAGAGGCCAGATGAATATTCAGGTCACAGTGCTGAATGCTGCAAACTAAAATTGCTGGAAGCTTTCCTGGAAGTGCATTAGAATTTGTGACTCTGCTGTTGAAATGACATGTGTTGCTCTCATGAGTCTGTCACTGAACAAGGACAGGCACAGAATACATAAATGGTTTAAATAATGATTAAGAACTAGTCGGGAATAAAAATGTCTGTCTTGCAATACATTGTACAGGCTCCGAAACTGTTTTCAACTGGAATAGAAAAGGTAACGTTCAGTTCTCTATAAAACAAAGGTATTTGTGTGTGCACACGCATAGGCTAGAGATGGAGAAGGTATGCTGAATGAAAAAAAAAGTCAATCAGATTAATCAAAACCCACCTTTGCTGGATGTCCAACACCTGTTTCCCATGGTCTGGCTTTTTAAAAAGGTTAATTAAACACTGCGATTCACCTGTGTAAAGTATTTCCACCTTGATTTTTAAATGAAAATTACCTTGTGTTTAAATTTGTTGGAATTCTTGTTTTCTTTCTTGTTGAGATCGATGAAGTAATGAGTGATGCGGTCCTTGGATTTGGAATCCATCTCCCAAGAAATCTTGAAGGAATCACATGTGATGTTACTTATTTTGATGTTATGTGGGACTGGAAGTTCCTCCATCTCTGCAATCCCACTATCTTGTGATTTATTCCCTGCATAAAAAATAAGCACGATTCGTTCAGTCAAAGACCTATTAGATATCTGTTTTCTGTGCTCCAATACAACCACATCCCCAAAAAGCCTTTCACAAAGTCTCATAGGTGGTGCTCAGAAGCAACTATGAGAGACAAATATGCAAGTCTCAATGCCAGTGATGGGAAATATTGGAAAGGGGTGAAATTCCTCATGTGAATAAGCACTAATGACACGTAAGGAGGCTGCACAGGCTGGCTAGTATCACCGCTGTTTGTGAATAAGAAGCATCAGATCATCATCAGAGCATCATCTGGTGCTACAGTGTTCAGTTAAGATGCCAGAAAGGTCCGAAGTTAACATAATGGCCCTGTTCGCACCTATTGGTGACATAAATACAAATAGAAATCACATTAATCCTAAATTTATAATAAATTAATCCAATTTTTTAAACACAAAGTAAAACCAAGCTCTTGAAGGTTTCTGCATGGGGTATGTATATACACACATATGTACACACAGATACAAAACACTGCCTCCTTCACAATGAAACAATTAACAGTGATCACTTTGTTGAGACACAGTAAAAGGGCACAACACCAATTTGGTTTTCTGGTCTCTACTCTCTCTGTTCTGTTTGCCCAGTTGAGACCCTGCAGTTTTCTTGGGAAGTTTTTTTCTAATTTCTCTAAGTGCATATGGTAGATGAACAATTGACCATTGACCCCAAAAAGCATCACAGGTTCTAGAGTGAGGTCTTCCCTTAGTTCCCAAGGCAACCTTGTAGTATTCCATGAACACTGAAATTCAGAAACTTTAGAAGATCTTGCACTACATAAGACACAAGTAAAAAGTGAAAAAGCAATTAAAAAAAAGGCAGAAAGAAGAGAAAAATGAGTGGGTAGAAAGGAAAGAATAGAGGAGATGATGATGCAAGAGAAGGAGTAAAGAAACAGAGCATAAAGAAATAAAAATCAGAGGTTGGAAAGGAAAAAATGAGAAAAACAAGGCTACTATCTGTGTAAGAAAGAGGGGGAAGTGCCCAAATTCTGTCCAGATGAGGAAAATAGGAAGCCCATATAGAGATGTGAGGCAACACATTGTCAGAATTATTTTTAGTCGCATCTAATCATAGAACAAGTCTTCATACTTCATCATAACTGAGATAAAACTGGGCAGAGAAAGTGAGTCTAGTCAGTAACAGTAACAAAAATTTGACTTGGAAAACATTAGGGGCATTTCAACCTCTAAGAAGACGTTGTCAAAGAATTGTATCAGCACCAGCAGCATCTCAATGCAAGAATATTAAGGTTAGCCTCATTGTTCTAAATTATTTTCATAGACATGTGAAATTCAGTAACACAGTCTGTGAAATCCATAGATTTCCAGCTAGGACTGTGAATAAAGTAATTTTACTGAGGATTTCGATAACCAATAATAACACTTTTCTCTTTTTGCTCCATTTCATGCATTCACGTCCAACAGGTTGTCTATTCTTTAAACATCCTATTGCTTTTATTTTTTTTTTTTTCCAATTAAATATCGAAGTCAGATGGCGCATGGTCTTGCTCAAAATCCCACCCTATTTGTGCCATCCACAATGACGTTTTCAACAGCCGCGCACTGGCTGCAGAAATACCAGTCATTACTGAAAGCTTTCTGTTCATATGAAATACACGGTTAAGTGCTTTTCCCAACACGAGATTTCAGAAAGTCAGCGGGGAGAAAATGGCATTGCTCTCTTTTGTCAGCGTTCTGTGTTTGACAAACGACTGACAGCTCTGCCAGGTGCACTGAAAAGGCCGCGTATGATCGCTCTCCCAGGAGCGAGGCTCTGTGTTTGAGCAGAAGATGGAGCGATGCTGCTGAGGTTCTCAGACCTGCTGGAGAGCTGGATGGACTCGGATCCCAGCACGCCAAATAACTGAATAAATACCTGAACAGACATGCAGTCAGGAAGCAGGCTGCTACGGAAGACTGCTCAGATAAAACTGCTCGATAAAACGGACAGCTTCAGGTGTGTGGTAAGAGAAATACAGGTGTCATGGAGATCAAAACCTGACAGATTTTACTGATTAGGAAGGTAACACCTTTGCCTTTTTTCCACTTCTGCTTTGGTGAATATTTTGAATTGTTTTTCATACTGGAAAGCATGTCCACGTCAAGCCACTTCTATATGCCGGGGTCAATTTAAAGAGTAAATCAAGAGGAAATGGGATGTCTACTGAAAGCAGAAATACCAGCTGAACTTACTCAAAACCAGCACATAGTCGCCCTAAAGCACACCAAAACTCCACCCAAAAGAAAGATACTACTGTTATGGATGTGAAAACGGGTGGAGAAGGCCTTAGAACTGGCTGCTTGTTCGTCGCTTTGCCACTTCACTGAGGCTAAACTGACCTTTCTTTGATGAAGTATCACCACACAGACAAAAAATGAAAATCAAAGTCTCACAGGAAATGTTGCTCTCCCCAACTTCCTATCAAATTAAAGCAGATCAGCTTCCCATCAAAACGGTCACTTCATCGCGCACATTCATGTTGCTTCAACGCTGGAAGCCACTGTGGGACTGGATAGAACCGCTGCTTTCAGGTCTCTTTTGAGCAGAAATTTATCCAAGAGCTTGTAGTCAAACCAACCTGGTCTCCTCTGCCAAAGAAATTAGGTGTGCCATCCCTGTGTGCTGCTCAAACACCTCTGTTTTAACAAAAACCAGGTCACATCTAGGACACACAGAAGGGCCCAGGGATTCCTGACCCGTATAATAAGAAGCCAAAGACCACTCGTGTGTGCGTAGGTCACACTGGAAGCGTAAGACTTTAAATTTCTTCAAAGCCAAGGAATAAATACAATAGAGCAGCTTTACTGAGATCAGCTGGAGAACTGCAAGATTAATGTTTTATGCTCTTATTCACAGGCTTATCTCTCTCTGCCATATCGGGAGTTAAATTTCAAGTTAAATTGTCTAATCAATTTTAAAGCAGTTATGATACTCACTGCTGCAGCTGAGCCAAAATGCTGGCAAAATGGGTAACAAAACAATTTTATTTATATACACAGACACACTTAATTTAGTACCCTCATTATATCTCCTACTTACATAAATTATCTCTGAATGGGAAAAAAAAAAAAAAAAAAGGCAAAAAATTCCCATTGAACATTCATGGCTTTCATCTGTCACTACTGGAGACAAATGTTAAGACTTGGAAATTGATAAGTTCACACTGAAAAGCTCTGGAAAAGGATGATTTGGGTTTTTTTTTTTAATTTGCCTCATGCCTCAAAACAAGCTGAACCATCAGATCTGCAGCAGTGGAGGGATGGTGGAAAAGAACCTTAAGACAGCCTTTGACTGGTAGTTACTAAACATTCACAGTCACTGAATTTTTGTAATTTTACAATACTTGATTTTTTTTTTTTTCCTTAGTTCTAAAAATGCAGAATTTCGTAGCAGGGCAAGGGAGTACGTGCCTACTGATTTTTCATTTCACCAACCAACTATTTATGTTATCCACAAAAGGAAGGATGAAGGGGCTAATCTGTAACCCACCCTCTAAACATACTTTCAACTCACAGAAGTGAGTGTTATAAAACTAGACCAATAAAATAATACATTTCTAGGGTCCTGTGACCTTGCTTATAGAAGATTTGACTCTGGTATTATCTTGGCAAATACATTCCTGCGATTAAGCATTAACAATGGAAAAAAATATTAACTGAAGCAGTATGATATACATGTAATGAAGAGAGAGAATCCCCATACATACGTCTGTATTTCCCATAGTTTGAATGCAATCCATCATTCGGCAACATAAAAAAGGTGGGCTCATGCTCAAAGGTTGTCTACCAGTCGCACTGCAGTAGTATTCGCTCCGAAGTATTCCCAACTCATGCAGTTTGTATTCAGCAATCAAACCACACACCCCTTCCTCTAACTCCATCCCTAAAACACTAATATGCCACATTTCACGGCATTAACGATGTAGCTTGCTGCACTATCCAAGCATAAAAAGTTATCCAGCAGTCAAGAAACAAATTCACAGAAAACAGAACCCGCAAATGACTGAACACAATGACATCAGAGCTATCCATCAACAGGGGAAAAAACCTACAACTATTACAGCCGTAATGAGTGTGATTGCTTGTGCTCAGTGTGAATTTGTGAAATATTCATTCAACTGCAATGATGTCCATTAAATCTGGAGAAATTAATAGAAGGCAAGGCTGGGTGAAATCCTTTTGAAAGTATCCCTTCAGTAATCATGGATGACGAGATGTAGCTGTAAAATATCATTATTATTTATCTGCAATTTAGACTTGGATACTAGGGGGAATGACCGTCAGAGTAATGTAAATCAGACTGCTATTTCCCCTTCAGGGGATCCAACCAATTCACGTATTTGTTTGATATCTGGACAAAAAAAAAAAAAAAAAAAAAGTGTGTGTGTGTCTGTTTGAACCATCACTCAACCAGTTCAGAGCTGTCCTGCGTAGTGGTGGAAAGTTACACATCCCCGAAGTGACACAACTGCAGTTTATCTCAGAACCCAACCACGCCAGGAGAACAACTGACGGGAATAAAATGGCTTTTCCTTGCATTACTTTAAAATCTCTTGTCAGCTGTGTTTCCTGCTAAGTCTTTGTCCTTCTGTCCCTCAAGATGCAAATTACATCAGCTTAATGAAGTGCAACTTACATTTTCATTTAAACCCATTGAGAACCCCCCTCAACACGTATAAACAGATTTGCCTCTTTTGGCATCACACTGGAAAATCTCCAGGTCTACAGACAAAGACGAATCATCCGGTTCTAAGTTTCTTTGTACTCGGGGATAAATCTTCAGTGTCTTTAGAGTCATGTTGTGGGAAACAGGGACTTCGGATGCTGCTGGAGCAGACATTCAGAAAAAACTATTATGCTTCTCCTAAGCTGCCAGCACCATTGCTATGGATCCTTGAAAACATGTTCCCAATGGCTTCATGAAAACATTAAGAAATTCTGGGCTGTCAATTAGTATTTT